GGTGGTAAAAGGGTGTTGTGAACCCACATCACACAGCTCTCTGCATTCTTCTCAAACATGACAACTTCCCCCTGCCTCCCCTACACACATGTGTAATCTGATATCAGCTGGTGGTAAAAGGGTGTTGTGAACCCACATCACACAGCTCTCTGCATTCTTCTCAAACATGACAACTTCCCCCTGCCTCCCCTACACACAGGTGTATTCATATATCAGTTGGTGGTAAAAGGGTGTTGTGAACCCACATCACACAGCTCTCTGCACTCTTCTCAAACATGACAACTTCCCCCTGCCTCCCCTACACACATGTGTTATCTTATATCAGCTGGTGGTAAAAGGGTGTTGTGGACCCACATCACACAGCTCTCTCCACTCTTCTCAAACATGACAACCTCCACCTGCCCCCCCCCCCTAAACACAGGTACAGTATAATCATATATCAGCTGGTGGTAAAAGGGTGTTGTGAACCCACATCACACAGCTCTCTGCACTCTTCTCAAACATGACAACCATCCCTGCCCCCTACACACAGGTGTATTCATATATCAGCTGGTGGTAAAAGGGTGTTGTGAACCCACATCACACAGCTCTCTGCACTCTTCTCAAACATGATGACTCCCCCCCCCCCCCCCACCCTTTACAAACAGGTGTATTCATATATCAGCTGGTGGTAAAAAGGTGTTGTATACCCACATCACACAGCTTTCTAAACTCTTCTCAACCATGAAAACCATCCCTACCCCTACACACATGTGTAATCATGTATCAGCTGGTGGTAAAAGGGTGTTGTGAACCAACATCACACAGCTCTCTGCACTCTTCTCAAATATGAAGACCCCCCTCCCCCCACCCCACTTTCAAACATGTGTAATCATATATCAGCTGGTGGTAAAAGGGTGTTGTAAACCCACATCACACAGCTCTCTCAACTCTTCTCAACTATGAAAACCATCCCTGCCCCCTACACACATGTGTAATCATATATCAGCTGGTGGTAAAAGGGTGTTGTGAACCCACATCACACAGCTCTCTGCACTCTTCTCAAAGATGACAACCTCCACCTGCCCCCCCCCCCCCCCTAAACACAGGTACAGTATAATCATATATCAGCTGGTGGTAAAGGGTGTTGTGAACCCACATCACTCAGCTCTCAGCACTCTTCTCAAACATGATGACCCCCCCTCCCCCCTTACACACATGTGTTATCTCATATCAGCTGGTGGTAAAAGGGTGTTGTGAACCCACATCACACAGCTCTCTGCACTTTTCTCAAACATGATGACCTCCACCTGCCCCCCCCCCCCCATACACAGGTACAGTATAATCATATATCAGCTGGTGGTAAAAGGGTGTTGTGAACCCACATCAAACAGCTCTCTGCACTCTTCTCAAACATGATGACCCCCCCCCCCCCCCCCCCCCCTCTTTACACACATGTGTAATCATATATCAGCTGGTGGTAAAAGGGTGTTGTGAACCCACATCACACAGCTCTCTGCATTCTTCTCAAACATGACAACTTCCCCCTGCCTCCCCTACACACATGTGTAATCTGATATCAGCTGGTGGTAAAAGGGTGTTGTGAACCCACATCACACAGCTCTCTGCACTCTTCTCAAACATGATGACCCCCCCCCCCCCCCCCCTCTTTACACACATGTGTAATCATATATCAGCTGGTGGTAAAAGGGTGTTGTGAACCCACATCACACAGCTCTCTGCATTCTTCTCAAACATGACAACCATCCCTGCCCCCTACACACAGGTGTATTCATATATCAGCTAGTGGTAAAGGGTGTTGTGAACCCACATGACACAGCTCTCTGCATTCTTCTCAAACATGACAACCATCCCTGCCCCCTACACACAGGTGTATTCATATATCAGCTGGTGGTAAAAGGGTGTTGTGAACCCACATCACACAGCTCTCTGCACTCTTCTCAAACATGACAACTTCCCCCTGCCTCCCCTACACACATGTGTAATTTGATATCAGCTGGTGGTAAAAGGGTGTTGTGAACCCACATCACACAGCTCTCTGCACTCTTCTCAAACATGACAACCTCCCCCTGCCCCCCCCCCCATTCCCTACACACAGGTGTAATCATATATCAGCTGGTGGTAAAAGGGTGTTGTGAACCCACATCACACAGCTCTCTGCACTCTTCTCAAACATGACAACCATCCCTGCCCCCTACACACAGGTGTATTCATATATCAGCTGGTGGTAAAAGGTGTTGTGAACCCACATCACACAGCTCTCTGCACTCTTCTCAAACATGATGACCCCCCCCCCCCCCCCACCCTTTACAAACAGGTGTATTCATATATCAGCTGGTGGTAAAAGGGTGTTGTGAACCCACATCACACAGCTCTCTGCACTATTCTCAAAGATGACAACCTCCCCCTGCCCCCCCCCCTTCCCCTACACACAGGTGTAATCATATATCAGCTGGTGGTAAAAGGGTGTTGTATACCCACATCACACAGCTCTCTAAACTCTTCTCAACCATGAAAACCATCCCTGCCCCTTACACACATGTGTAATCATGTATCAGCTGGTGGTAAAAGGGTGTTGTGAACCAACATCACACAGCTCTCTGCACTCTTCTCAAACATTACGACCCCCCCCCCCCCCCCCCACTTTCAAACATGTGTTATCATATATCAGCTGGTGGTAAAAGGGTGTTGTGAACCCACATCACACAGCTCTCTGCACTCTTCTCAAACATGATGACCCCCCCCCCCCCCCCCCCTCTTTACACACATGTGTAATTATATATCAGCTGGTGGTAAAAGGGTGTTGTGCACCCACATCACCCAGCTCTCTGCACTCTTCTCAAACATGATGACCCCCCCCCCCCCCCCCTTACACACATGTGTTATCTTATATCAGCTGGTGGTAAAAGGGTGTTGTGAACCCACATCACACAGCTCTCTAAACTCTTCTCAACAATGAAAACCATCCCTGCCCCCTACACACATGTGTAATCATGTATCAGCTGGTGGTAAAAGGGTGTTGTGAACCCACATCACACAGCTCTCTCAACTCTTATCAACCATGACAACCATCCCTGCCTCCTACACACAGGTGTTATCTTATATCAGCTGGTGGTAAAAGAGTGTTGTGAACTCATATCACACAGCTCTTTGCACTCTTCTCAAACATGACACCCCCCCCCCCCCTACAGACAAGTTTGTAGCTTATATCGAGATACACACCTCTATACAAAATTTGAAAGAAATCTGTCAAGAAATGTGGCAGTTAGAGCGCACAAAAGACAGCCACCAAAATATCAGCTGGTGGTAAAAGGGTGTTGTGAACCCACATTACACAGCTCTCTGCACTCTTCTCAAACATGACAACTTCCCCCTGCCTCCCCTACACACATGTGTAATCTTATATCAGCTGGTGGTAAAAGGGTGTTGTGAACCTATTTCACACAGCTCTCTGCACTCTTCTCAAAGATGACAAACGCCCCCTGCTCCCCCACCCCCCCCCCCCTTCCCCTAGACACAGGTATAATCATATTTCAGCTGGTGGTAAAAGGGTGTTGTGAACCCATTTCACACAGCTCTCTGCACTCTTCTCAAAGATGACAACCGCCCCCTGCTCCCCGAACCCCCCCCCCCCCCCCTGCTCCCCCAACCCCCCCCCCCCTTTCCACTACACACAGGTATAATCATATTTCAGCTGGTGGTAAAAGGGTGTCATGCACCCACATCACAAAGCTCTCTGCACTCTTCTCAAACATGAGAACCTACGCCTGCCTCCCCACCCCCATCCCCTACACACAGGTGTAATCATACATCAGCTGGTGGTAAAAGGGTGTTGTGAACCCACATCACACAGCTCTCTCAACTCTTATCAACCATGACAACCATCCCTGCCCCCTACACACAGGTGTATTCATATATCAGCTGGTGGTAAAAGGGTGTTGTGAACCCATATCACACAGCTCTTTGCACTCTTCTCAAACATGACACCCCCCCCCCCCCCCTACAGACAAGTTTGTAGCTTATATCGAGATACACCTCTATACAAAATTTGAAAGAAATCTGCCACGAAATGTGGCAGTTAGAGCGCACAAAAGACAGCCACCAAAATATGGCATTTTACACTATAGAAGATGGAACACTGGGGGCAGCATCACCAAAAGTTATAGGTGTGTAGATTATACGAAGATACACCTCCATACAAGATTTGAAACAAATCCCTCTGGAATGATGCAGTTAGACCGCACACTAGAGTGCACACAAGACATCTATCAAAATATGACCTTTGACCCTATAAAAGACGGAACACTGGAGGCAGCGTCACCAAAACTTGGAGGCTCGTAGATTACACCAAGATACACTTTTGTTCAAAATTTGAACAAAATCCCTTGCAAAATGTGGCCTATAGAGTGCACACAACTCAACCATCCACACAAATATTGCATTTTACCCTATAGAAGACGTCACACTGGGGGCAGCGTCACCAAAAGATATAGGTGTGTAGATTATACTAAGATACACCTACATACAAAATTTGAAAGAAATCCGTCAAGGAATGTGGCAGTTAGAGCGCACACAAGAATATGACGCGGCAGACACGGAGGCGGCTCATAACGCTGCTGAATCCTAAGTACCCCCTGGCATATTCCTGGGGGATACAAAATATGGCACACTGATAAAACAAGAAATAAATAAACATTCCATTCTTGATGAGTAATATATCTAAATTTCCTCCAAGGAGAGAACAGAAGAAGTACAAACAAAAGACAGGAGGTTGTTCAAACGGGGCGTTGTGGCAAGCGCCTGTAATCCAGCTACAATGGAAGTTACACACTGATTCAGCCAAGGACGCAGGTTCAAAACTGAGTCACGTCTATCAGATGGTGACGTTAAAGGTCGGTCCACAGACGTAAATAATCATATCTGATTGATATACGTCTGTAAAAACTCAATAACACACACACACACCAATTTTGGGAGCTGTAATGAGAGAATCTACTTACCACTAACGTGCTGAACAGGTTGGCTATGTGTGGTTCGGCCGGTAGATCTCCACAGTTAGCTGCCATCTCTGCGAGCAGCTTCAACATTTCTAATTTGGCACCTCCTGAATTTGAATCTTTCTCTTTGTCCTTCTTCTCTTCCCCCGAAGCTCCGTTCTCATCGGGTGCTGAAGCCAGGGAGGTGAGATTGGGGAGGACACGTTCACATATGTACGACACAAACGCCGTTGACTGGACGTTTTTCTAAGCAAGAGATGATGGAGAGAAACAAAATTAGAATATGGCAGAGGCAGATCCATTATTTGATAACAAGATATATAACACAGTCAAACCTGTCTATACCGACCGCCCAAGGGAAACACACAAAGTGGTCTTTGTAGACAGGTAGACACTAAAGCATGTTTGACTGTAAAAAAGAATCACAAAATACATATTTTCCTAACAAAAAGCTTTCTTGCTCCATTCTTTATCATGCAGCTCAAGTGACAGAATTTATTACACAATGAATACAAAATAATTTGTGAGACAGTAAGATGTAGCAATACACACATAATCAAGTTTAGCCTGATGTGTCAAATAGAATCAAATACAAGGTTTTGACGCTAGTTTCAAAGAACTCCACGATGCCGCTCTTGGGTATATCAACGATTTTCTTGCTGTTAAGCAGTGTCATCCCCCTATACTATCTTCTCCATTTATGCTTTTAGACCCTCACAGCCAAACCACCCACTACAGGGAGACCAGGTATTTGGACATGTGGCACCAGTCACGTGGAATAGACTTCCCAGTGACATTAGAAACATTAATTGTCGGAGGACATTTCACACCAGAATCAAGCAGCTGAATAACACCAGGGCTACTAAGAAAATCATTGTTATATATCGGATATTGTATTACTTTCATCTTTTGTTGAGATAACAATTTGAATATCATTAGATTGCATTGTAGCATCTTCAGTGGTACTATATCAGAAAGTAGAAATACTTACTATCATATTATTATTACAACATACTGTCCCATGACAACCTTTTTGTGGTTCATCACTAGAATTAGCAATATTTAAAAAACCTCAATCCTAGCAAAAACACTTCACACCAAAACCCAACCAGTTTGGGTGAAATAACCATTTTGGAGAAATAATATAACAGCGAATGTTGGAGTAGCATGGGTCATAGCACCCATACGTTGCATGATATCTCACTTACTGAAAAGAATGGCATAGCTTGTCGAATACATTGCATTAGCCTGTCTACTGAGTCTGAGTCTGTGTGCTGGAAAGAAAGAAGAAAAAAATATGATGAAAGTATCACTAAACAAATCTATTAAAGCTACACTGTACTACTTATAGCTACTTGCTCCCTCTTTATAACAAACAATGCATAATCGGTGACCATTGGTCCCCCATGATCCTCTTATTCTTATGTTAATTGAGAGCTGAGTTGATGAGATAACCACCTATCCAGTGACCTTGCAGTGTGGTCTAATCCCTCCTGTTCACTAGTATTGATGGGCTTTAAAAAAGTATCGTTTACGAGGAGAAAACGAAAAAGCAATGCAGTTTAACTTAGATTTAAAAAAGCGAGTTTTAATATCAAGATTACAATTCCTAATAGTGGAGTTGGTATTCTAAGACTACATAACTGTCCTCTTGAGACATGATCCATCCCATAGGAATGAGAGGGTTAAGAATAAAGTTGAGTTACGGGCATGCAATGACAAAATGGCCAGAAAATACTTGTAATGATTGACAAAACTATCAATAGTAATAAATATATGTTTTATAAGGTTTTGTAATCATTAAACAAAAAAACAAAAATTTGGGTGCAAAATTCCTTAACAATGAAAAACATTGAACACAAGTGAGGGTACACAGGGCTACACAGACATGTGACATAGTTTGTGGTTCAACGTTGACAAATATTTCTAAATCCTGCTTAAAATCATCAATATTATTCAAGAGCAATCATTTTCTTAGAAATTATTCATAGTCGTATGACATCCTTTCACATGAGAATAAACAAATGATAAAGCTCACAAATAATTTCAAATCCTTATGAGAACTTATAACTCTTTCAGGCCTCAAGGCAAATATTGGATAACTCGCTTCAAAGGTTTTGACTGATCTGTACATGTTACATAAATTTTCAAACATGACGGATTTCTCTCTTTTTTTTATGAATAAAAGATAAGAGGAAAATAGATATCAACTACCTAATTTCAGAAGTTTCATAACGCATAAGCACAATTTGGGGGGGGGGGGGGCTATGGGCATTTTAATGCTAATGACTTCACGCCTAATGCCAACGATTTCATGCTTAACGTAATAGTGTGCGACTGTGTTTAGCAGAAAGGTGGCCACACAACTAAATGTACTCACCTGGAAATCTGATGAAAGGTCAGCCTGTTCTGTGACGAGGTCAAGTAATTGCTTCCTGCCTAGTAACGTCTGCATACTACTCAGTCCCGTCAAAAGCTTCATGAAGATTACAAATTCCTCACCAGTAACATCCACTAGGACCTGTCATGAGATACAAAAATGGATAGAGGAAAGATTAGAAGAGGGCACAGATGCTTTATTCTTTATCTTGGACAAGTAAATATATTTAAATATTGTTAAAGGGCACGTCCATCCTTCCATCGAGCTGATTAGAATACACGCAGGAAAATCAGAGAAATTAAAAGAGAAAGAAGAGAACAGCTAAGCTAGTCACGTTCAAACTTTTAAAGAATCCATGATCATATTGATTTCCTCTGTAGGCCTTTTTCCAAATGTTTTAAAATCACTTTTTTTTAAATATGTAACTTCTCATATCTATTGAGCTGGCTATCATCATCTTCATCATCTTCTAGTCACAGGAAAATGATTTATCCATTATTGTAAAAGTAGAAATATTTGCGGTACATTAATTGCGCTGAATTGCGTGCAATGTGAATTTAAGAACAAGTGAATATGTTCTGGGGACGCTCAGCGTGAGAAAAAAAATCAATCACGCAAAAAATAAAAGCGTTTACAGAACTCACCTCTTTAGACTTTTCTACAAACAAAAAAAAAAAAAAAAATTAAATTAAATTTAAAATGGCGTCCAAATATTCGAGTATTTGCTTGTAAGCCTGGGAGTGTTCTCTGGTACCTCATTACACAGTTGTGCACAGTACGTACCTCTTTAGTCTTTTCTACTAGAAACTCCTCTACCTCCTTAGTGATACGGTCCGGTGGCAGGGTCTGGATCTTGTTGTTAAGGAACTTGATCGCACGATCCCTCACCTTGTCATCTCCTGAGAGAATCTGATTGAAGAGCCCACCGAGGGTTCCTACAAAATGAGATGATTTGAGGTAAAAATAGCATCATTTTTGTTATCAAGTATTCAGCATCATCTATGAAGGAATCCCTTGCAACCGGCTCCAGTGAGACTTGGCCTACCTGGCTAAGCCTCAACCTCCTAAGAACTGGCTACGGACGATGCAGAGTCCTAATAATAATAATAATAATAATAGCCTAATAGTCCACTCCAAATTTTATTTAACCGAAACGGAAATTCTTTTTGCCCAATTGATCATGAGCCCAGCAGCCACTGAGCAGCGCCAGATCGATGTTGCTCTGTCCCTTATTGTTGAACGCCGAACAAGGTAGCAACAACTCCCATCTTTTAACGTCTTTTGGTATGACGCGGCCGGGATTCAAACCCACGACCTCCCGGTTGTGAGGTGAATGCTCTACTGACTGAGCCAACACTCCGGTATAGGTGGGGTCTAGGAGACAAACAAACAGCATGTGAATACGGCCAGGAACAGACAATGGAACACCTAGCTCTGCTAGTCTGCCCACTCCTGCCAGAGCCATGCACCCAAGATGACCTGGAAGCCGTGATTTGCCATGCCAAAGCCTGTGTGGACCACTTGACAGGACTTGTGTAGTGACTCGATTAGAAGAAGAGCATCATCTATAGAGTACCAAAGTACTCGCGTCATATTCATTTGTTGTCTTGGTTACTGGTTCTAAACAACAGAGCCTGGACATGAGGTTTACCATGAAATCATTGAAGCAACGGGCTGGAGCAGAGCAAATTCAGGATTTGGGGCTGGTGTTATAAATCACTGCACCATTGTTTTGCACAAAATTGATTGGAACCAGCAACCTTGACAATTTGGCCAATATGACGTCACACGTCATACTCTATGTCTGACATGGGAAACGCAAAAACTTAATCACGATAACCCTTACATCACTCCTTTTGTTTTGACTGATGATGCGAAGTTGGACTACATAAAGAGTGCTAGGGATCTTCACATTCATGAGTAAAGTGAACTGTAAACTTGTCACAAGGCACTGGTTGTAAAAAATCTACAGTTTTTTTTCTTTTTTTCTCCCCCCCCCCCCCCCCTCTCTATCTCACCAAAAAAAAAAAAAATCGTATTCAGGTTTTATATAATAAGATTCGCTTAAAGTTCTCAAAAAGGTATAGCACCTTACCATTACTGTTTGTGCACAGGGCAACCAACACTGCAGATTTTGTTAATTTTGTAATTTGTTATTATTTTATTTCATTGGTTTGGGAGTGGGTGGGGGTTTGGGCAGGAGGGTTTTGGGGGGAGGGGGAGGGGAAGGGTCAGGGGAAATTAATGAAGAGCCTTGTGAAATGAAAAGCTTACCTTTAGAATCAATGTTGTAGAGTGCCATGAGAGCTGATCTGACAATGTTGAGTTCAGGGAGATCATCTGATTGGAGAAGCTGTGTGAGGACATCTGCAATCCTGAGCAGGTGATCAGCTGAGTCTCTGCACAGGTTGGGCAACTCCTTGATCGCTTGTCTACGAATCTGAAGAGAGAGAGAGAGAGAGAATGAATATCAGGAGAGGAGTGATCCCAGAATGTAAGAGCTCCCTTCCACTGTGACAGCAGCTTCTTTTCTGGAACAGTTTAAGAGGCAGCTGGTTGGGGTAACACTGCGTCAGAACTAATTAGAGAAGGAGCTTCTTTTTACTTGCACAAGGAGCACTTTTTACTACTCAATTCTATAACCTTTTAGAACTGTTTTGAGGCTCACACAATGTAGCATGGCACACTAGTTCACAGCAATGCACAAAAGTACGAAAATACTCTACCCAGAGGACTGTACTTGCACTGGAAGAAGTAAAGAAGAAGGGGGAGGGGGAATTGAGTGATACCTTACCCTTCCCTGAGTGTGATCAATACGATCACGCTTCAGCAAACATCGCCCAGCTGCTCTACCTACAGTAGTTGAATATCTAATACAGTTAAACCTGCTTTAGTGACCCCCTGTCTACAAAAACCATATTTTGAAACATGTACTATAGGCACCTGTCTTCAAAGACCACCTGCCTATAAAGACCACTTTTCTTGTCTCCCTTGGGTGGTCTTTATAGACAGGTTTCATTGTAAAACATGTAGAACCAGCACTTTATCTAACTCTTAACCTAGACCTATCTTCTCTGTGTGGTCCTAGTCTCAAACTAAACTCGATCATTTTCAGAAATGTCCATATGCTTGGTGTCAGCACCAAGAGTGCTGGGCACTGGCAAGAACTAAGAAGGCTTGTTCAGATATGATATAACAGAGAGCTCAGTGAATCTGAGCTCTCTGTTGTTAATAATGCTTAAAATCAGCAATGGATGGGAATGTTAATAGAAATGGACCCAAATAATTTTTATGAAAGCGCATGTCACAGCACCAAGTTGCAAGAGAAAAGGTCGCCAGAGAAAATTTGCCATGGCAAAAGTCACAAGAAGAAACACCTATGAAAATCCCTGGACTATAGGGGTGCAGTGTCGCTTGACACCGTGTCCTATGTGCGCTCATTGCTTGTGCTTTGCTGTTAATGTTTTATGCTCACATAAAAGGTCTTTATAATCTTTTTCTTGTTTATATATTTGTTTTCATTTTAATGTTGCTTTTGTTAATTTTTTTCAAATTTCTCGAGATATATGTCATGGTTAGTATTCAAATTTCTTTATGGGCTCCTAACCCCATCTTTTTATATTTCCATGAATTATTGTATGTACATGTATGTAGCTTTATGGTTGAATTGAAATAAATTAAAATAAATTGAATAGAATTGAATTGCAATAAATTGGGTTGAATTGAATTGAAATGAATTGAATTCAGGGTTGGAATAATACCCGCTTCGGAGGTTTTTTTTCCTAGACGCTGGGAAATAAGCGGTATTTACTGGTAATTACCGCCACCAGTAATTACCTTCCAACCAAGATTGAAATGAATTGAAATGGATGACCTACCATAGAGACATCATCTTCACAGAGGTCAAGCTGAGCGTTGATTGCTTGCTCCGCCAGAGATGGGAAGTATTTGAAGAACTTTGGGATGAACTGACCAGCCAGCTGCTTCTGAGGGGAATCCCCACCCACTGCACTCAAGATGGAGGCATACGACGACTCGTGCTGAGGAGAACAAAAAGACAAGAAGAAAAATAGCCGATATGAGTTTAAAGGGCAAGTCCACTCCAAAAATAACTTCTTACAATAGAAGCAGAAAAATCTGACAAACCAATCAAAAGAGGTTTGAGCAAAATCGGATAACTAATAAGAAAGTTATGAATTTTTAAAGACATGAACATCTTTGAAAGTCACTAGATCTAGACAATTTGGCAACTCACTCAAATCGCTGAAGCGCTGCTATTTTAGCGCTTACATCATGAAAACGGTATCGATCAACACGTCAGGAAATTCAACTTTGCATCGTTCAATTTGCATCAATTAATCGCATTGATTAATTGTTTGTGTGCGATGATCAGAACCAGAGCTACAAGCAAACAAAGATTAACTAAATATTCAAAGCGTCGACTTCAACAAAGGAACTTAAAAATGTTTTCGAATTAAATATCTCTCGATAGAATATTTAACTATGTAGGCCCTAGGGTCTACCTGCATATAAAATATCTAGGTGATTTGATTACCGAAACAAAGTTTTTTAACTCTGAAATTTACACGATGTGTACGAGAATACACCCGACGGTGGCCTGTACTTATAGCGAAGAAGAAGAAGAAAAAATTGGCCTCAACACTTTCCCACATAGATCTAGACCTAGGTCTAGTTAGCCTTAAGGGCTCCCTCGAAATGTTTTTTATATTATTTGAGGGAGCCTTAACCGCCGCCCATACCACTGCACGGAGAGGTAGGTAAACAACATCTCAAATGTGTCCAAAATCACACTTTCCCGCACCCGACCAATATTGGACAGTGGCTTTGATGAATTTTATGTTAGTTTTAATCGTAATTACATCCTGAATTTAAAAATCGGAGTTAAAAATAAGGAAATAATAGCAATTTTCTTACCAGACCGATACAGCTCAGCTCCCTTTTCACGTGTACCGTGTGAATTCACGATCTCTACACAATGGTGATTACCTCTGACTGGCACTACCGTGATTGTGCTGCTTCCGTATAATGCGCTGTATAAGTGTTATTTAGCGCATTATACGGAAGCAGCACATTTACAAATTGTGTAGAGATCGTGAATTCACATGGTACACGTGAAAAGGGAGCTGAGCTGTATCGGTCTGGTAAGAAAATTGCTATTATTTCCTTATTTTTACCTCCGATTTTTAAATTCAGGATGTAATTCTGATTAAAACTACAATACCGCCCAGAAGTTATTGGGCATGCGGGATCGTGTTTCACGATAGGAGGTTAGCGTGATTGTAGACGGGTTTTATCGTGTTTTATCGTGAGAAACATCGTGATTTGTATTCATCTCTATCATGATTTTTTTCCTCAACTTGATCAACTCGCTAAATCCCCGATGCATATCGTGATATTTCCTTTTAGTTTGTTATTATCACGATAGAACTGCGCACAGAATGCTGTATTTATACGCTTGCTGAGCCTGCGCATCCTCAAACATACCGATGCGCGCTTGCCACTGACGTCACAATCACTTGATTATTACATCACAAAAGCGTGAATGAATGCTCTTTTCATTCCATGCATAAATACACGAGACAATGTGCTACGGGGAATGTTTGGGATTGCGCATGCGGAGAGAAAAGTTATCCGATGAGAGAAGTGCAGAAACCAAGAAGTGTCTAATTGGCCTTTCCCACGATACAACATCTTTTTTTTATTTGAGGGGGGGGGGGGGGGAGGAATGTTTGGGATAGCTCATATCATGGCAGAGGAGATCCGAGAGTATATCAAGAGTTAGACCGAAAGCTTCAGTATCTAATATCGACGGCTATTCCGCTTATGTTTAATCCGAGAAAGACTTGTCGTTAACATTATTTGTTGTGCAGCCATCTTGATTTGAGTTAATGAATGCTCTTTTTTTCCGGACGTCCGATACCTACATGTGCGTACGAGTCAGCACGGCTTGACCCGGTGATATTTTGATATTCATAAACGCGTGATCTAATTCGCCTAAATTTCGCCGTTGCAATTACTTGATTAAAATTGTAAGAATTTTAAGAAATATACATACTTTCTTATGTCCGATTTATTGATCGGAAAATTAGATCTAACTAAGGAAAAACGGGAAGAAAAGAAAGGCTCACCCCCCCCCCCCCCCCCCCCCCCCCCCCCCCCGTCGTGCGACCCGTAATGGTCACCGTCTGTGTATGAGGAATGTTGACAAATGTAAGATTTATCAAAGAGTAATGACCCATATCAGACGGTTATTTCTGTCTAATCGAGAGTATTCATCATTACATGTACATATCAGATCTAATATGTGGGTAGAATCTTAGAATTTATGGATAAATGCGGCTGTTATTTCTAGAAGAATTATGTGTATGTTGTGAGATTTTCAGGAAGGCGTGAATAATTAAGGGAAGAGGAGAGAAGAGGCGGAGGGGTACCGTTACCGTTAGCGTGACAGGAAAGAAAAGAAAGAGGGAAGGGAGTGAAGAGTGAAATATATCAGACAAAGATAATTAAGAGAGATAGAGAATTGAAAATTAACAGAATAAATAAAGGATCCGTAACTCCAAATAATAAAAAAAAAAAAATATTATTTTATTCATTCATAATACCAATCGGTTGACCCTGTCCCTACACATTACAAATTTTGCCACAGACCGCAAACGGCATTTTCATAAACCAGTATTATCAAAAACAAAAGCAACGCGATCTCGATCAGCCAATGTACCTCGTGGTCCACAAAGTAGTTGAAATTTGATATGTAGTGCGCGCGCTCAGGGATTCCCGGAATTGGAAATCCCCTCGATCTCGATCTCCATTTTATGACATTTAAGCTAAATACATGTACACATACCTGGGTTGGCAAGCTCCCGTAATCAAAATTGGAGTAATACATAAGGAAATAACAAAGAAATACACGAGGATTGAGGACAAAATATAAAATGATAGAAAGAAATCTAATAAAAACATAAAGTATTAAAACACATTTACGAAGGAATAAACCAGAAGAATGATTAATAATGATAATAATAATAATAAATAATAACGGCTTAACAAAGATCTACATACATGTATGGTAAGAAATAAGGATAAACAACAAAAAAATGATTGATCGAATTGATAGCAAGAAAAACGAGGAATTAAACAAAGGGGGTGATTGTGCAAGGGGGTAATTCTCCTTGAACCGTAAGGAACAAGCGAAGGGAATACATACACATATTTATATTTTGAGAAAAGGTAAAACAAAGAAATAAAAAAACAGAAAAGATGATGAGGTAAAGATTAAAAAAAATGCACGCACTTATAGTTTTCTCTCGAAGATTCAATCATCACTACTATGATCACGTGATCTTAAGGCGCGAACATGATCTGTTTATACTAACTTCTGAGATAACCACATGCTGCCAGACACCTTGACTCCAAACCCATTGTTTAGAAACACTTGAAACACAATATGAAATGTACGCAAGCTCTCTTGTCATTTAAACATTCAATTCATTGGCGAAAAAATTAGAATTTCCGATTGATGAAGTTCTCTGCTTGTTTCGTCTGTCTATTTGATTTTATTTTTAGATTTACTCTTCTTCCTTTTCCCCCTCCTTCCTTTTCTTTTCTTCTCCCCTCCACCCCCCCCCCCCCCCCCCTGCGTCGCCAATGATACGAGTTTGCTTTTAAAATTATCATTTATTTTATATCCGATTGCGAAGCAGCAAACCATAAATGAATTGAATGCAACATCAGGCAAATTAATTATAAATATTATTAGCGCGAATAAACGTTAGAGGGACTAGAACGGGAGCTATTATTGTAAAAATGTCCACAAAAATAAAACACAACTTCGCGAATGATAGTGATACGGGTCTGCTTTTAAAAATAAAATCTATATCATATTCTAATGCGAAGCAGCAAACCATGAATGAATCTAAAAGGTTGAAAGGTTTGTTTTAATTCTTAATCTTAAATTGACTAACTATCTCTTAACAAATAATTGCGAAAGTTAATCAAAGCCAAAGGCTGGACATACGAGAACATAATGAAATGCATCATCTTGTACTTTGAGATCACATATGGAACACAATTCTACAATTTCTAGAGGCTGACTTTAGTGACGGTCAGGTGCAGACGACAGGGCAGCTTACTATTACCACGTCGATATTTATAAAGAGATGTTCTATCACTGAAATCCAACTTTAACATATATTCTTCCAAACCGATTACCTGTTTAAAAATTCTGTAATTGAAACATGAACTTCATGAACTTCATCGTTCCAGTTTTGCAAATCAATGTCATTTAATCTACGATCCAACTTTTTTTCTTCCTTTCCAACATCCTATTTTTTAACATCGCCATCGTACAAAGTAATTATAAATGATAAAAAGAAAAAGAGGTGTGAATGACCTAGTTTTCAATCTTCGGTTAAAAATGTCATTGAATGTTATCTTTGTTATTTACGATGTGTCAGCCGAGGGGAGCCACCTCTCAACGCATGTGGCAGACATAATCCTACTGTTTATTTCTCAAAAGTAAATGTACGTAAATGTCTCCCTTAGCTTAGTATGATTTCGCTAGCCTGCGCTCCCATCAAACATTTTTCTTTCTCTCTCTCTCTCTCTCTATTACGTGTAGTCCCCCCCCCCCCCCCTCGTGAAGATACTAGTGGGATTTCCTCTCGTCTCTCTTGCTCTCCAAATACGTAGGTCCATGCTCTCACCCTCTTCTTTGTCACATTTCTCCACCCATGAACGTTTTCGTCTAGTGTCGATGAATAAGGAGTGGAAGTAGAAAGGTGTACGGAAAATAGACTAACGTATTGGTGTCTTGCCTACTTATATTTAGTCAACCCTGTTAAGTAGATAATTATCCATTTTATTTGTTGTTTTTTTCCCATCCTGACCTCGATCATAACTCCTTTCCTTCTCGAATAATATCTTCATCTATCTCCAGCTCAACACTACCTCCCTCTCAATTATCTCTCTCTCTCCTACATGTTTTCCTGTTAATTCAACTCTTTTCTAATCCACACTCCGAAGACAGTTACAGTAATTGATCCGTGCCATTTTTACAGATTTTATTATTTATCAATCATCCAATGCCGTCGACTAAAAATGTTTATTTACGCGTGTTTTGGTAACCTTGGTTACTAGTCCACCTGGCAACTTTTACGCGTGACCAGTAGGCAAGAATGTCCATGATTGGACGTTTTCTTTTTTAGGGGTGGAGACCCTTCTTACGGCAGTCTTGTCAGTGATACTGATAGGGCAAATGAAAGAATCTGATCGCGTGCGTGTTTTCTGAAGCGACGATCTTGGGAATATTTTTATTTTATTTGGTGGAGGTTGAATTGAATTGAATTGAATTTATTCACCACTTTCATGGTTGTGGAATGAGATACGCATATCTGGAGTAGGCGAACAGAAAATATGGCAGTGAAAATGAAAGGTATTGTGCTCACAATTATAATTTCAATGAATGCAAATCATGCAAGTTTTTGCAACTTGAATATAGTTAGATCTACTCGTTGCTTCACCGCATCAGTACCCGATGCTTATCCGCGCCCAGTGTCAGTGATTTAGCGACGGCTTTTACTAGTATTTAACTGTGTGTAATGTTTACTCGTGAATACTTTCTATTGTGACGTAAACAAAGACACATACGGAACTGCGCGTACAAATCATACATATATGAAGACTTAGCGCGCGCGATGAGCAAGACATGCGCTTGCAGAGGACATGACTTGACTAGTTGCAAATACGCGCACCATGAAACACGATAGACTATCGGGGGATTAGGCGGGTTACACGCATCCCCTGATAGAGGAAATCATTCACTAGTGTGCAAATTATCGTGATTTTTATCGTGATTCTATCAGTATTTCATCGATATTTTATCGTGATTTTATCGTGAAATACCCATCGGGGAAAACCCGCCCCGCAAAAACATGCCCAATAACTTCTGGGCGGTATTGTAACATAAAATTCATCAAAGCCACTGTCCAATTAGGGTGTCTGAACGATTTTTCAATTTTCAATTTGGGATCGTTTTTCACCATTTTTGTTTGATATTTGAATTAAAAATGTAATCAGAATAATACATTTCAAATTTCAAGTCTCGCCGATGTTTCTATCAAAAGATACAGCCCCTTCAAAATGCTAAAATATTCATAGCATTTTGCTCAGAATCGACGAAAAAGACGTACACGCAGAGTTATGTTGTTTTGCTAAATTTAGCCAAACAGCTGTATCGCGCGATATGCAAGCGTATGCATATCGTACGCAAGTTGCTCAGCCAATGCGCGACTTGCAAGCTTGAGCCACGCTGTCTCCGCGATATGTGCCATTGACTAGTATGGGTGGCCGTTCCCGCTATAGAACCCGGAAGTGAATACACGTTGTAGTCAATGGCAATATCGCGGAGACAATCTCCGCGATATTGCCATTGACTACAACGTGTATTCACTTCCGGGTTCTATGGCGAGAATCGGCCACCCATACTTTCATTCACTATAAGCGCACATGTTACGATGTAACCATGGTTTGGACTGAGCGGAGCTCACGCCTCCCTAATTAGCTGATTCCAAAAATGTGGGAAGGGTATTTTCAAACTGTTATAACAAATGATCCCTTGGGGCTAGCGAAAAAAAAAGCATCTGGATATTATCCTTACGTCTAGCCCTGCTTAAGCCGCGGGGGCGCAGCTCAGGAAAGTGGCAAATTTTGGAGCTAGGATGCAAACAACATTTCAATCGCTGTTTTGACCAAGATATTTTTAGAATTCTGGGGGTGGCCCCCTATGGGGAATATGGAGAAAACCCTGCTCTTTCATATGACACCTCATTTATTGAGTTTCACCTTCAGGATCATTTGTTATAAAGGTTTGAATTTCAAATTTTTTCATAAAATCATTGACCAATTTTGGATGGTCGCGCAATGCACGTAGACCACATAGGGAAGCGTACAATCTCTATGGGAAGGGTTTTAGCACACAACATTGGGTGCGCGATCAGACACCCTAGTCCAATATTGGTCGGGTGCGGGAAAGTGTGATTTTGGACACATTTGAGATGTTGTTTACCTTCCTCTCCGTGCAGTGGTATGGGAGGCGGTTAAGGCTCCCTCGAATAATATCATAAAAAAACATTTCGAGGGAGCCCTTAACAAGGCTTAAGGCTAGGTCTAACTGTTAGGGGCAATACTTCACGGGACTGGGCTGGCGTCGTGTATCGTAGCCCCCAGCTGCACATCTTGCTGCTTGCCGATGCAGGTTAAAAAAGGACAAAGTTATCACATAACCATCCGTGACCATCCATGGCATTGATTGGCTTCGACTTTTTAAGTGAATTCTATTTTTTCATTTTTGTTCCCTTCTGACTGTGTTCTGCCTTCTGAAGTTCTGGTCAGAAACTGTACGATTACCTAGACATGATATCCACATCATTCACAAATTACAACACACTTATATCAAATCACGCCAAAATTCCAATGTTTCACAATAGGATCGGGTGACCGGATAAGCCGTACCGCTTTTTGTTCATTCAATTTAGACATTTATCACAGCAGCACACAGTAGACTCTATAAAGGGCAGTGCAGTGACTGGCGTGTGTAAATTTGAGATGGACACTAAATTGCATGAACTTGAAGTAAATGCATGCATGTAATTACCTGGCCAGCATCTGCTCCGGCTTCAGCAAGGACCTCATAATCCTTATAAAGTTGTTCAATAGACACCATGATCGTGGATGAACAGGGTTGGCGTAATTAGAGAAATTTATCTCCGAAGTTCACCTTGATTTAATTCTCGATCCGACGCTCAATAATCTCGTACGTACGGCGGATATATGAAGCACCAAAAGCCGGTGCTGACTAAAGGTAGAGCGCCATCTGCGTCGATTATCTTGAAATCGTTTTATCTACAGTTGTATTATTTCTAGTTCTGTGGGTGTTGCTCGCAATTTATTAAGGGCAGGGCGGCATTCCAGGGGGGGGGGGGTGGGTGGGGGAGCTAAGTTTCCATTTTCCTTTTGCGATAAGTGTCCCATTTCCATTCTCAAAAGTGCCCTTTTTAATCTCTAGTAAGTGCCCCTTTGAGGCACGAAAAATGCCACTTTTCACTTTTGATATATGCCCCGTTCACCTCAGATAATTGCCTTATACAAATCTGAGAGGGGCCCCTTTGACTTTAACAAGAGCCCCTTCCCTTCCTGATAAGTGCTCTTTCCATCTCTGAGTGGCCCTTGTCTGCATAAGAACCACTTCCCCCTTTTCATCCAAGCCCCCTTCCCGCCCCCCCCCCCCCCACTCAGTGTTATTTAGGGTACGCATTATGCTCGTTCCCTCTTTTTGAAAGCACCCCCTATCTGAGGACTGCCAACATTTTCGAACCCCCCTTTCGCGGGCTTTTCGCGGGCTTTTCCTGCCTTGGATACCCCCCTAAATCAGGAAAAATGCTCAATGTACCCCCCCGAAATTCGGAACAATTTCTCAGAAGTCCAAAGAGATGAGAGAAAAAAAGAAAAAACACCCCCTTTTTAAAGAAATCTCCGGGTGAAAAGTCAAATACACCCCTTTTTTTACAATTCTCGGGCCGGATTTTGTCGCACGAAAAGTACCCCTTTACCGGACATTTTGGCAACACGCAATAAATGCCCCTTTTCTTTCAACAAATGCACATTTTCCTTAATTATAAGTGCCCTATTTTCGTTATCATAAGTGCCCCTTTTCATATTCGGTTAGTGCCCCCTTTAAGGTACAACAAGTGCCCCTTTTTCTCTGATAATTTCCCTTTCAACAATGATATGTGCCCCTTTTACTTTCCAATAAGGGATATATCCCCATTTCATTAATGCCCCTTTTAACCTCTTATAAATGCCCCTAACAAAGTTTAATGGATGAAGCTTTTCCGTCAACAAATGCCCATTTCCCATTATTATAGCCATAGGTAATTTTTTTTAAATTCCCGGTGAGTGCCTCTTTTCAGGTGTAAGAAGTGCCCCATTTTCACCTCTGATTAATTCCATTTGTACGTAGGCCTACTCTGACACGTGCTCCTTTCCTTTTCTATTAAGTGTCTCACCCCTTTCGATAAGTGCCCCTTTTCTTTTCGAATAAGTGTCTTATCCCTTTCGATAAGTGTCCCTTTTCCTTTAAAGGCCCAAGTCCACTCCAAAAATAACTTACTTTCAATAAAACCAGAAAAATCAGACAAACCCAATCAAAAAAGTTTGAGCAAAATCGCATAACTAATAAAAAAGTTTTGAATTTTTAATGACATGAAAAACTTTGAAAATCACTACACAAATTGGCAACTCACTCAGGAGTCTGTGACGTATGGTCCTCACTATCCACTAATTATTTTCTTTATATTGATAAATTTCCTATTTTCACCCTAAGAATCTTATTTCTTCACACCAGCATCCAAGTTAGATTGTTAGTAATATTTTTATGTGTGGATGCACAAATAAAGAGTAATTTATGTCCAGTTAAATCATGAAAAATTGAATTTTGATAAGCTATTTATATAAAAATCAATATTTATGAAAAACAGTATTCAGAAAATAGTATCAATTCTTCAAAATTCATAAAAGTTTTGGGGAAATGTCATAGTTGAAATAGTTGAAATATTTATTGGTTACTGAATCATCATAGGTTATAACAATAATGTGACAATGTCTTTACATGAGTATAAAACATAAGTTAAATTACATTTCCACATTCAGTAAATCATAGATACATACGCTCGAAGAGGTGATGATACAGAAGGGCTACAGCCTAAGCGTGACAGCTTGATACGCTTGCAGCCCAGAAACATTTAAAATCATAACGATTGTAAAGTAAAGTAAATTACAGAACATAATTGGGGGAAAATAACAAAAAATAAACAGTGACTTGCAACCAAAAAAAAAAATGGGATAGAGGGTGCATGGGAGGGGGATTTTCCTGCTATATCAAGGAAATGCTGACAAACATATATGATATCATGTGTTAATTTAAGAGATTTGTCAATATTTGCTCAATAAAATTGATTTCACACTTTTCTTGAAAGTATATACTGACTTCAAGTTACGGATGTCAACGGTCATGCACGCAATATGATACAAATCATATAACCTGGGCAATGGCATGGGGAAATCAAGTTTTGGGGGATAAAAAGGGAAATTAATAGGATTAAACTATATAAAGCAATTGATAAGTTGTGAGGACATGACGTCACAAACTGATAACCATCTTGGCAAATTGTGTCGTGATTCTCACTGTTCCATAGTTTTACATACTTTTTCAAAAAATCATAACTTTCTTATTGGTTATCCGATTTTGCTCAAACTTTGTGTGATTGGTTTGTCTGATTTTTCTGCTTTTATTGAAAGTAAGTTATTTTTCGAGTGGACTTGTCCTTTAATTATTATACGTGTCCCTAATTTAAAGCAGCTAATAGCAATTTCCCCAAAGCTCGCTCGATACGATTTCTCGCATTTATAGATGATATACTTACGTTACTTATCAAAGGTCTTTTCAGTCTTCCGTTATGAGAATATGCCTATAACCCCATCAGGATTGTGTGTTTTTTCTACTAATCAGATGTAATTTTCGCACTGCGACCTCACAAATCTTACAAATTTTTATCGCTCGCAAACGAATGTTCAGATATCCAGCTTCAGCAATTATCGTATAATGATTGAGAGACACAATAATTACTGAATCATTCCTTGATTTCACAATGTAGGGGTATATACCAATGTATAAAAGAATTGTATCATTTTGCTTTGAGATTTTCCTTTGTAGGTACTGTTGTTGCCCCTCTCCCACTTTGGAGGTCGCTCCGCCGCCCCTGTTTAGGGGGATCGCCTCCTCCCTAGAAATAACCTTCTGAACCTTCTGAAATTGTAGTCAGCAGGGCGGTGTTCCGCATGTCGCTAACTTGTATGGCAGGTAATGCATGCTAGAGTGTGTTTCTGAAATTATCAACTGATGTAGCATAGAAGTGTTAAAACAAAATTAAGTCTAAATAGAGATGACATCATCTTTTTACAATAACAACAGGATTGGGGCCCTCATGATTTTTTTTTTTTTAAAGAAAAAAAGTTATCACAAAATTAAGAGGCAGTTAATGTTGTTATCTTTTATTTTGTGTAGTTCAGGTTCTAAGGGTTTTAAAGTAGGCGCGGGGCGGCATGTTGCACTCGATCCATTTGGTCAGAGTGCTACCGAGGAATTAAACAGGGACGCCTCTTCCATATAATGTCTATGGTCAGAACCCCTTCCCCTCCTATCAGTATTTCGGTATTGTGGCCCTTTCTTGAACCGTGTGCAGAATTCGGAATCGGCCACTGGTTTAGTCATACCCAAGAAGGTACCAAGAACTGAAACTATATGGGTGTGAGGTTGGGGGAGGGGTGAATTGGGTTTTTACAGACATGTATCAATTACATATGATTATTTACATCTGGGGACCGACATTTAAACGTCACCATGGAAAGTCAAGGGATGCCAAAGGGGCCGACGGAAAACGAAATTCGCTCGATTTCCAATTCAAAAACCCCCATTAGAGTTAAATGAGATTCGCTCTACTCCCTTACGTTTATGGTCCCTCCCGGCAGACTTAAAGATAATTATGTCCCTTTTGCAGCCAACATTAAATTCTGTAGAACTTTGCAGGAGTTATGAATATGTCATGTATGTCCTATTTGTGGATTGTAAACGTTATCAGTGTCCTAATATTCAAATTGTGCAAGGAAACCCGTTTACTTGCCAGACTTCACTGTCAGACACTATTGAGTGACTGACTGGCTTTTTTTTTCTTCTTTGGTATTAACATTCATAAAATGAGCTGTAAAGAATACACGAGCATTTGTCTACATCAATAACCTATTTCTTGTAATGGCCAAAATTAAACTGATTGAATCTTTGCGCAGCATAAAACGTACGACCATTCGGTACTTGGTATGAAAATCAGACTATTACTTACTAAGTCGATTCGACAACTAATAGTCGTTATTTTCCCACTTAAAGACATTTTCAAGCCCCCCCCCCTCCCCCCATTTTTTTAGGGAAATTATTTTTATCTTTCAAATGCTGTTGGAATTTAAACTTTTCATTTTTTGGCCTGCAAATGGGACATATTATTACCTTTAAACGTACACTCTAAAAACTGAAATGTTAAATCACCATTTAAAAGGGCCGAGGAGTGACCACACTTTCAAAATGGCAGATTAACACTTTGAACATGCTGGATCCAACACTATAAAGGTTGAATCTAGCAGGTTAAAAGAAACAATCTGACATTTTGAAAGAGTGGTCACTCCTCGGCCCTTTAAATTGACATTTAACATTTCAGTTTTTAGAGTGTATGGGATCGGGCAAAACATAGTTAGGCTGTAGAGGATATACCCCTGCACTCAAAAACTTTTTTACAAGGCCAGAGGAATCCCCGATGGAAAGTAAAGGGATGCCAAAGGGGCAGACATAAAACGAAATTCGCTCGATTTCCGATTTAAAAAAAACCCATTATAGAGTTAAATGAGATTCACTCTACTCTCCAAAGTGTATGCCCCAACCCGGCAGGCTTAAACGTATGAGATCGGGGCAGACAATTGCCTAAGGTTGTATAGGATATACTCCTGCACTCATATTTTTTTCCAGGGCCAGATAAGGCTGAAAGGCATGGTTCTATTTTTGTTAATAAAAGTGAAGTTACTCGTAGTGGTAGACAAACCAAACCACGTGATGTTTTAGACTAATAACATACAACTGCACAGTGTATGCTTTGTCTTTAGCTCATGTTTATTGTGTTTTATAATTATTAAAATGTATGTTTTATGTCTTTGTATTTTATTATCATAATCTTACTTTGTTTATATATGTTTCTGTATTGTGCTGTGCTCTCATGCCCCTGAAGGGGGTCCATAGAGTCGAATGAAATCTTACCTAGTAATTAAAGCAGAAAATGAAGTTGAGAAACAGGCTAGGGGGGGGGGGGGAAGTAAGTTATCATATTGTATTGATATGAGTACAGGTGTTGTACACATATGAAAATATGCACATACATGTACATGACTTAAACAATGGTAAACACTTCAATGAGCATGCATGGGCAATTGGGCATGAATATATAAATAAATATACATCGACAGTGTATGCAGAGAAGGTATGCTGGTCATGTTGGTATGTTAGGAGAGAGACACATGTTTTGGGCTCTCAGAAAGGAGGTACTTATAGAAAGAAGACTCTATGTTGGATTTTAAGGTGTGTCCCTTGCAGGACCTACACTGTACATATTGAGAGAGACAGAAAAGATCTCGACTTGTTTAAGTCTGAACCAATAAAGATGGAACCAAATGGAATACTTGAAATTGAATCCTGCGTCTTTATTGCTTGGCTCGTTACAATACTGAACAAAGGAAAACAAAAGGATAAATTATTTGACTGTTGAGATTACTAGTGAGGTATTGATGTATGCATGGCCCGGCCACCCCCCCCCCCCCCCCCACTCCGGGGTCGGACTGATGACCCCATGCGTGTTACCAAAATGTCTGGTAAAGGGGTACTTTTCGTGCGACAAAGTCCGGCCCGAGAATCGTAAAAAAAGAGGTGTATTAATTTTTCACCCGGAGATTTCTTTAAAAAGGGGGTGTTTTTTTTTTCTTCTCTCATTTCTTTGGACTCCTGAGAAATTATTCCGAATTTAGGGGGGTACATTGAGCATTTTTCATGATTTAGGGGGGTCTCCAAGGCAGGAAAAGCCTGCAAAAAGCCTGCGAAAGGGGGGTTTGGAAATGTTGGCAGTCCTCAGATAGGGGGTGCTTTCAAAAAGAGGGAACGAGCACATGCGTACCCTAAATACACAGAGTGGGGGGGGGGGGGGTGGGCATTTCTCAAGCTAGCAAATGAGAAAAAAATTAGAACAAACGTCGCCAAAAATGTACCAACATGTCGTAGAGGGCGACAAATCATAATTAGTGGAGTAAATATTAATGATGCAAATTGAAACAAACCAACGAACGAATAGCTCGAAGAACCTCAAATTTACACTCCGAAAGCGGGTAAGAAACCTCGTATTTTCATGAATACCTTATTATGGTATACGATTTTAACCGTTTATTGAGATGTGAAAATGAAATTGCTATTTACTACATATCAATATATTATAATTTGTCCCTGCGTTATGTTAAACATGAGCCTATTCTGCTGCGATTTGTGTTAATGTCGCACTCGCTCGCTGATTAATTCCTCACCTTGAGTGAATGGCATTCAAGCCAGTGCTATCCGCAGCACAAACCGCACACCCGCTCGACAGCCTTCGTTTCATAGCAACATGATGCTAATGAATTGACGAGCAAGAATGCTATTAAAAATATGAAGACATTATTTACTTGGATTTGATGAGTTTATTGTAGAAGGATTTGTGTGGGTAGTGTTTACGTGAGAAAATGAGAGCTAACAAAAGAAAGAGACAGAAATTTTGGTCTAATCATGTCATGGATGCTCAGTCTGACTTAGACCGAAAGCTTCAGTCTCTATAATCGTCGGTTGTTCCACTGAGACTACATCTGGCTCCACTAGACCTCCGGTTATAGAGACTGAACGACTGCCTATGCCAGCCTGTGTTGAACTTATTCCGCTAGATTTTAGCCGCTAGGCCCCTCCCACAAACTTGCCACGGCCGTATTGTTATGCCCCCAAAATCCCCCAAAATGTCATTTTACCTCGTTCATTTCCAATTTTAAATTAGGCTATAATACATCGGTTCCACTTACTAACTTGATTGATATAATCCGTTTAATGGTCCCTTTTAAGGAAATTATCGGTCAAAATCGACATCCATGTTGAAAATCTTGCAAGCCGTGTTAAACTCTCGCTGCCGTCAATCTCATCCCTTCTAGTCTACGCCGAAGGCAAAATGATTATGAAGGAAAAACTGTGATAACGCCATTACGAACGTGTAGATGGCGCACATGCGTACGAGCACATGCGTACCCTAAATACACAGAGTGGGGGGGGGGGGGGGTGGGCATTTCTCAAGCTAGCAAATGAGAAAAAAATTAGAACAAACGTCGCCAAAAATGTACCAACATGTCGTAGAGGGCGACAAATCATAATTAGTGGAGTAAATATTAATGATGCAAATTGAAACAAACCAACGAACGAATAGCTCGAAGAACCTCAAATTTACACTCCGAAAGCGGGTAAGAAACCTCGTATTTTCATGAATACCTTATTATGGTATACGATTTTAACCGTTTATTGAGATGTGAAAATGAAATTGCTATTTACTACATATCAATATATTATAATTTGTCCCTGCGTTATGTTAAACATGAGCCTATTCTGCTGCGATTTGTGTTAATGTCGCACTCGCTCGCTGATTAATTCCTCACCTTGAGTGAATGGCATTCAAGCCAGTGCTATCCGCAGCACAAACCGCACACCCGCTCGACAGCCTTCGTTTCATAGCAACATGATGCTAATGAATTGACGAGCAAGAATGCTATTAAAAATATGAAGACATTATTTACTTGGATTTGATGAGTTTATTGTAGAAGGATTTGTGTGGGTAGTGTTTACGTGAGAAAATGAGAGCTAACAAAAGAAAGAGACAGAAATTTTGGTCTAATCATGTCATGGATGCTCAGTCTGACTTAGACCGAAAGCTTCAGTCTCTATAATCGTCGGTTGTTCCACTGAGACTACATCTGGCTCCACTAGACCTCCGGTTATAGAGACTGAACGACTGCCTATGCCAGCCTGTGTTGAACTTATTCCGCTAGATTTTAGCCGCTAGGCCCCTCCCACAAACTTGCCACGGCCGTATTGTTATGCCCCCAAAATCCCCCAAAATGTCATTTTACCTCGTTCATTTCCAATTTTAAATTAGGCTATAATACATCGGTTCCACTTACTAACTTGATTGATATAATCCGTTTAATGGTCCCTTTTAAGGAAATTATCGGTCAAAATCGACATCCATGTTGAAAATCTTGCAAGCCGTGTTAAACTCTCGCTGCCGTCAATCTCATCCCTTCTAGTCTACGCCGAAGGCAAAATGATTATGAAGGAAAAACTGTGATAACGCCATTACGAACGTGTAGATGGCGCACAGTTTTTCCTTCATAATCATTTTGCCTTCGGCGTAGACTAGAAGGGATGAGATTGACGGCAGCGAGAGTTTAACACGGCTTGCAAGATTTTCAACATGGATGTCGATTTTGACCGATAATTTCCTTAAAAGGGACCATTAAACGGATTATATCAATCAAGTTAGTAAGTGGAACCGATGTATTATAGCCTAGGCCTAATTTAAAATTGGAAATGAACGAGGTAAAATGACATTTTGGGGGATTTGGGGGCATAACAATACGGCCGTGGCAAGTTTGTGGGAGGGGCCTAGCGGCTAAAATCTAGCGGAATAAGTTCAACACAGGCTGGCATAGGCAGTCGTTCAGTCTCTATAACCGGAGGTCTAGTGGAGCCAGACGTAGTCTCAGTGGAACAACCGACGATTATAGAGACTGAAGCTTTCGGTCTAAGTCTGACTGAGCTGAGCCGAGGCTGAGCCGAGGCTGAGCCGAGGCTGATACACATTCATGTTTAAAATATTTCTTTGTTGTTCCCATACTAAATGGCGCGTGAAAAGAGCTTTTTATTCTACACTGTCATGCCAGAACAGAAACGTGTTTAACCAACCAACCATGAGCCTTATGAGCACTTACAGCGATTACCAAATTGAGAAGAAGAAGAAGAAGAAAAATAATTGTAACTGGAAATTGGAAAATTACAATGGCTGTAGCATGGTTAGCCTTTTGAATACAACGCAAGATAATAATGGTTCTAGAAACCAGATTATTTTTTGCTTCTAAGATGTAATAACCAACATTGTAGATTTTGTAAAATGAGTTTTAAAAAGTAATGTTTTGCATTTTTACTTTTACAACAAAATGCCATGTTCTAAGATATGATTGTTCTTATTAAAAAGTGAGGAGACATTTGCGAACTTTCTTTCAATACAGCAAATGATAAGTTTAAAGAAATCTAAAACCATTTATTGTACAAATTTCAAGTAAAATTTATATAATTTCACACAGTGCCCCATATTTTAATTTCAATTCATTTATTTGTTCAACCATCAAAATATATATACAATCAAAATAAGTTACATCAAGAATTTAGAAGAACACAGTGATGGTTTGGTGACCCCGTAGAAAGCAGGGCTTATAAAAAAGGGGCCACCAAATTGAAATACATAATCGCACATATCGCACAAAACATCTAAGTACATCATACTTAATCAAGTTATATAAACTGATGTTTTGTTGTTGTTTTTTGTTTAGGTTGAGTTTCAGATTTCTGATCAGAGGTCAAGGATTGATTATCACTGTACCAGACAATGAGGATTGTTATGTAGAAGGCAACCTTGTCATCTTGGTAAACGGCCTTATGTGATTGGAAGAAGGAGAATTGATAGTGGCATGTAAGCACAACATTAATACCGGGCCAGCAAAGGGTAAGTGATTGGTTTGATTGGTTTGTTTTACCTGACTGCTAAGAAAGCTTGTGTATGCTTGTTTCAAGTTTCAAGATTTGTTTCAATTTAAATCCATACAATCACATTTTATGAAATTATTAAATACAGATTATTTATACAATATATAGAAAACAGAGAACACACACAAAATGGAAACACGTTTACAAATATACCAGAAGTATAAAAAGTTAATCAATATAAATGAATTGGGGGAAACTGCAGATAAAACTAAGGTGCTGTCAAGGCAGTCCCTGCTATTACAAGATACATGCAAGTTCCAACAATTGCCTTGTACATGTAAGTAGGATTAATGCCTTACCAAAGGGCACTAGTGCATCAACTTGGTTTCAAACCTGAGGCTTCCTGGTTACGAGACCACTGCTCTACCACGAAGCCACCGCGTCTCCTTGTGTATAGATCCAAATGCTCTCTTTCTTTCCCTTGTCATCCAATTTGCCAATTATATTTTGTTCCTGTTCCCTCAAATTTCCAGTGTTCATTAATCGTGTAAATATATTTATTTTTTGTAAGTAAGATTTTAATTAGAAGAGATGAAGCTAGGGATAAATACAATAAAGAAGTTTAATTCTGAACTTAAAACACACTTATTCCAAATGTTAAACAAATACAAGTAACTCAACTTGCCTTTCTTATCTTTTTCTTGCAAAGTGCTTAGGGACATTCTTATGCGATGTTAATGCACTGTAAAGAATAATTTGTGATTAGCATTACTAAGATTAAAATTCATCTTTCTGAGCTAATGAAATATTATTCTGAATAATGAAGTGACAGGGTTTTTTTTCTTCTCAAGATTTCATGAATTTGTATTAAAATTAGTTTTGTAATACTCTAGTCTATACATGCATGTATATTGATATTTACTAAATGTGTTGCTGATAAGAAGTTTTCTATTTATCAACTTGATTTAGTGATAGCTTCATTTATAATGCAAAATATGACATCAGAATTTTGCCCCCCCCCCCCCCTTTAATAGAAAAGAATTAAAGTTAAAGAAGTCCATCAAGCATTCTTCTCACCCAGTCTTCTTCTTTTGATCAATCCACAGTGAAAGAAGTGGCGTAGGATCTGGCCTGTACCATGGCCAGGGCGGGGGTGCGTATCACAGACTATGGAGGGGTCCAGGTCAATCCTGAACCCATCATAATAGAGGAACCTCAAGACACATTCCTAGAAGACTACATATCACCAACTAAACTGGTCAGTTCAATCATCAGGCTTGTTTCATATACTTCTATAATCAATGATATTAAATAAATTAGCTTCATATTTTGTAAAATGGAATCTCATATACCTTTATAACCACCATACATTGTATATACCGCGGCTTACTCATATATTACCTCATTCATTATATCACCATTCAGTAATATTTAATTTATATATTTGTATTGTAATACTCTGTAACCAGTGGAAACCAAATTTCCTGAAAAGAACAATAAATTATTATACTTATACTTAAATACATATACTTCTCATTGAGAATCCTTGTTTGAAAATTACCCTTCTTTGTCCACTGAAGTTCTTTGCTTGAACTTGTTATAGTCATACTGTAATGTTAATTGCTATTGGCAATGTGACATTCACTATTGTTTTTTTTTAATTTGAACTGTTTTCTCTTTTTCTGTCTTCAGATTTTTAAAATTTGTATTTGTTTAATTATTAATAATTTTGTATTGCTTTCCTTATCTGAATAAAAGAGTTTGATATACTCCTGGTATGATGGTAGTTGAAAAGATTGGAACTAATGGAAAGATTTAGAATTATTAAATAAAGAGGAAAATGTAGAGAAAACAAGATGAAAAGCTTTCATAACACAGGCAGTGGCTTTTCACACATCCTTACCAGGCTCATGACATATATATGTTTTCTTGTCCGACAAATTTAAGTTTATTAAAGTTTTCGTATTCTGTTTTGAAGGAATAATAATATATGCATACCTTCATAGATGTATATTTTGTCTGATAACCTCTTCTACAGCGAGCATTGACTGGAATAGAAGATCTTGAAGGTGTGAAATTCCTGGAGATGAGGGTGGACACCTCAGAGACAAGTCTTGGGAACTTTGGTAAGGTTCAACGAGAGGTCTCAACTTTTTTAAGACATTTGCAAAACCTCTTCAGTTTTTGATGAATACATATATCCTAGATTGATAGTGTGGTGATTGTAAAGTGCCAAAGTATATATCAGGCTTTTTAGGTTAAAACCGTCATTATTTTTAAAATTAAAATTAATTTTAAAATTAAAGTTGGAATGTAAAGATGAGTGTTTAAGATATATTTCCTGAAGACAGGCATGTTGGGATGTTGAGAGAGAACAATGCATTAAGGGTGTTATTGGTGTATAATATTTTGCCCCCTCAATGCTTAAAGCTAACTTTGAGCTCTGGTATGGGCATCAAATGTCAAGAGAATATGTCTATAATTAAATCTTGATTGTTTATCCTGCAGTAGATTGATTGTTTGATTGAAGCAGTAAAATATAAACAACCTCACAAAAACTTGCTGGAAATCATCTTCAATAAAAAAAACCACATCCCTCATTTGCACATAGTGTTAAGCTCATGGTGTCAGACCTAATACCTTGCTTTCCTTATCTTTCTATGCTCATTACTCAGCCCCTATACATGTTCTACCAAAGTTTGTTGGCATGTGTCATTTATTTGTAATTTTGAATATTCAGTGTAAGTTTTGTTGGATTCTGTGAGAATTTATTTTCTATCATTACCAGAACTTAAGCTTATCTTTAATGTTTTGGTACAGCACCTAATGTAGTGTATCAATCCTCTGTCATTACAGGAGCCATGCTGCCCAACCTGAAGCAATTGAAACTGAACGACAGTCTGATAGCTTCAGTGAGAGATCTAGGCACCGCTCTGGACATTCTGGGTGTTCTCTGGATGGCTAGATGCTGTTTGTCTGATCTAGATGGTCTCAGCTCCATGTCATCGTTACAGGTAATGTTGGTCAGGTCAAAGCTGATTGTAAGCCATAGGCAGGGCTCAACACTCAGAGGCACATGGGCCCCCTTATCTAAGTCCAGACCCCAACAATTTTGATTTTTTTTGTTGTTGTTTGTTTTGGTCTTCATAGGGCTCATCCATACAGGAAGAAAAGCCTTTTGAGTAGTAGTTAATAAGATAATCTTTATCTTTCTGCCCAGTATCCATGGGACTCATTTTAAACCTTACTGTTGTTTAGTATCCACTGATTTTGTCTCAATTTAGTCTTTGCTAAATGAAATAATACACTGAAAAAAAGGAAAAAAGGGTTCAATCTGGACCCTCTCCCAGAAAGGTTTGAGCCCTACCATATGTTACCAAGTACATCTGTGATTTTAGCATGTGATTGTTTTATTGAGTCAGGAGCTCTACTGGAGCTTAAATCAAACAAAATATGAATAAAAATGAGAGATCCTCTGTGTGGAGCCTATAGGGTTTTGAAATCAGGAGGCGCGATAGCTCAGTCGGTAGAGCAGTGGTCTCGTAATCCAATGACCCGGGTTCAAAACCAAGTCGATGCGCTAGTGCCCTTTTGGTAAGGCATTAATCCTCATTGCCAGGTCCCTCGGAGAGGACCTTAAGCCGTCGGCCGTCTGGTTGCTTACTTACAAGCATTTATGCTTTCTTAGCAGTCAGGTAAAATAACCAACCATCATATACCACTCAAATCATATAACATTTTACACGCATTTAACACCCTTCTGGCTGCATAGAAACGAGATCCTATTGATGTTCATAAATGCCACAATGCTTAGTAATGTATATGGCACCCAAGTGATTGGACTTGCATGTTGTCTATGTCTATGTGTGATTGATACTTCATAGCTGGCAACCATTCTTATTGTTTGGCCTTCAAGCTATTGTATTGAACCCTAGATTCTCCTCTTTTTCTAAAGTATTCTGTGTGACATGTATTCAAAGAAACTTTACTCCTATTTTTGCCTTGAGAGATTCCTAATTTTTACTTACTGGAATAGCAAGTATGTATAACTTAACTTCTGTCCTTTTCTCTGATTTTGTTTTAAAACAGGAGTTGTATCTTGCCTACAATGATGTATCAGATATCAGTCCGTGCAGTATGTTAGAGAACCTTCAATTACTAGACTTGGAAGGGTAAGTTTAATTCTAGATGAAACTTAAAGGGGAATTCCACCCATATATTAAATTGGACTTAATAGAAGCAGGGAATTGAGAGAAACAGATTAGTGAAGTTTGAGCAAAATCGGATGAAAAATAAGAAAGTTATGAATTTTTTAAAGTTGTGATCAAATAAATATATATTGACAACTCTGTGTTGTATCTTGCGAGCCCCTCTCCAATTTGCTCTGCACAGAAAATCTCATAAACTTTCATTTCCTTAGTTATTGATGACAAAATAGATTTGTTTAATACTTTCAAACTTTGACTGACCTGTTACTTTCATTTTCTGCTTCTATTTAAACGAACTTAATATCAGGGTGGACTTTCCCCCTTTAACTATTTATACTCTACTGTAAATGTACAAAACAACTTGCGTTAAATAAAAATTCAAAACATATGTATATTTATTTAGTATTGTTTCACCAGGATAGCCCCGTTAGTAGTTGAAATAGTGTTATATTTTGGGGCTCTGTATGACGTATAGCATATTGTTACATTTTGAAATAGCAATCAAGACGATTTTTCTAGGAAATTTGAACACAGTACGAAGAAAGGGATTCATTTTGCCTTGATTTGGGCCTTGTTTATACCTAGTTTCTGTGTCTTGTTTTGTTTTATTTTATTTTATGTAAAGGAAATAACTCAAAGTTTGTTTCTTTTCTATACCATGCTGTATAATCATTTTGAATTGATTTTTCCATCAAAGCTAAAAGAAATATATCAAATGTTTATTAAAGATAAAAAAATAAATAAAAAGTGTTTCAATATAAATCATTTCAAACAGGAACAATGTAGATGACATAGCTCAGGTGGAGTTTCTAGGACTCTGTAGTAAGCTGAGAGCTCTGTCCTTAGAGGGTAATCCAGTCTGCTTGGCACCCAACAAGGATTATGACAAGGTAAGATCGATCTGGGTGATGCCGGGGATACTGAGTTTATGTCATTTGGCATTTGGCAAGGCATTAATCTACATTTACCACTCCATACCCAGGAGAGAAAAGGGGACCTGGTAGGATGATGAAAGCCTTTGTGTTAGTAATTGCCATATGCCCTCACGGTGACCATATGGTAGGAATACTCCCCAGGTAGTGGAGATGGTGGACATTGTGTGTGAATGAATCCGATGACCGAGTTAATAAAATGTGTATAGCACTTAGAGGCGATATTTCACATTATGCGTTGTATAATCCTGATTAGTTATCAGTGTTCCTTAGCACTGTAACCCTCTTTGACAACTTTCCTGTTGCAGATGTTACCACAGCTCGTACTGGAGCTCGTACCAGAGCTTGTGTCCGGTTAGCACTCTAATGATGTATGACTGACACAAGCCCTGTATAAAAAAATATGGACGAGGCTGGCCTGCTTATATGTACATGAATATCTTTGACAAGATTATGTGCAGAGAAAATGTGTGTTATCACAGCGTGTGTATGATCACCCCTTTAAGGATGTATGGCTGGCAATGACACATATACTCATAAGATAATATTCTAATATATGGCTGGCTTTTGTGTAACTTAAAATGCTATGGCAGAATTCAAACAGAGATTTCAGTCTACTCTTGTTGCTTAATCTTTCCCCCTTGATGTGTTAACACCAGGAGGAGAGTCCACCGTACAACTATCGTCTCTCCGTCTGGAAGGCAGTCCCTCAGCTCAGAATCCTAGATGATGAAGTCCTTAACACGGCATCAACGTCCTTGTCGACGTCGAACCTTCAACCCAAGGCTCTGAATCTAAGCACTGATTGGTTGCTAGTCAATGGTTCTATCAAAGATACGCTAGGATCAGTAGACAGTGTAGCATCAGATGGAAGTGGGGGTAAGTTAACTGAATTGTAACATTAATTATCAGGGAATGAAATGCTTTAGCCCCTCTAAAGTGTTGGGAGCCCCAAAACCTGTCTACAGTGTGTCCCGAAAAAAACTATACACTTTTGAAATGGCTGCCAAATAACAAATATATGATTCTAGGGGGAAAAGTTATATATGTATGGAAAGCTCATATACTCAACTTTCATATGACACCAAAAGTTGCGAAAATAATTCATGCTCGGGTGAGTACTGCTCACTTTTGTAAAGGGTATGCAAATTTGGTTGCGCAGGAATTAGCCTTCCAATTTGTGAGAGGTAAATCCTTTGGAGCTTACCGAATTGAGGATGATATGACCAATTTATGATCAATTGTGATAAGTTTGGGTTTGCTGAGTGAAATGTTTGGTTTATGGGATTAACATTTTATGCATGAGTTAACAGGAATTGCATTTTTTATTGTAGCACTGTAACTTCCCTGGTAGACTCAGTGGTGTGTTCATGGGAGTCAGGATGGGGTGATGATACATGTTGTAATTTCCATGTTACAAACTGTTATTCTCTTACATCTGTGACTTTGAATAAAAACCTTCACCCCACATTTCAATTATTGTAAGATTAGTTGAAGATCTCATTGATTTACTCAATACCCAGGTAGGGATAATGTAAATTGAATATTCAAATACGGTTTGTTGCAAAAGGAATGTCCAAGATGTCGGCTACTTATTCTTCAGGTAAATGGTAACTGAAATGTGGGGTGAAGGTTTTTATTCAAAGTCACAAATGTAAAAAATAACAGTTTGTAACATGGAAATTACAACATGTACCATCACCCCATCCGGACTCTCATGAACACACCACTGAGTCTACCAGGGAAAGTTACAATGCTACAATAGAAAAATAAATTCCTGTTCCGTGCATAAAAGTTTGGTTTAATAAACCATGAAATTCACTCAGCAAATCATGAATGTATCATATCACCCTCAATTCGGTAAGCTCCAAAGGATTTACCTCTCACAAATTGGAAGGCTAATTCCTGCGCAACCTAATTTCCATACCCTTTACAAAAGTGACCAGTACTCACCCAAGCATGAATTATTTTCAAACTTTTTGGTGTCATATGAAAGTTGAGTTTATGAGCTTTCCATACATATAAAACTTGTCCCCCTAGAATCATATATTTTTTATTCGGCAGCCATTTCAAAAGTGTATAGTTTTTTTCGGGACACACTGTATAGCGACTACCCAAGGGAAACATGAAAATGTGGTCTTTGTAGACAGGTGGTCACTGAAGCAGTTTTGGCTGTATGATTAGTATGTTTTTAATGGAAAAACAAAATTGCATTGAATCCAACACAGGAAAAGACTTCCAAAAATATTGATAACTACCTTCTAGAGAAATTCAGTGAAGTAAATTGAGACAGGAATTTGATAGAAATCATGTCTTGTTGTCCCTAGGGTCGCGACCCAAGACATCGGCAGCCAGGCCGGGATCAGCAGCAGGTAGACGACCAGGGTCAGGCTCTGGACGGCGACCTGGGTCAAGCATGGGTCATCGGCCTATGACCACAGCGGGAGGAAGGCCGACGACCTCTGCTGAGAGGCCTGATACTGGGGGTGAGAATCTCTTTCTTCTTCTTCTTCCTCTTCTTCTCCTCCTCCTCCTCCTCCTCCTCCTCCTCCTCCTTCTCCTCCTCCTCCTCCTCCTCCTCCTCCTCCTCCTCCTCCTTCTCCTCCTCCTCCTCCTCCTCCTCCTCCTTCTCCTTCTTCTTCTTTTCCATTGGAGTACATCCCTCTTTACTGAGTATTGTCGGACGGAGCCAGACGGACGTTCACTCTGTGTTACAGCATATGAGTTAGTGCCCTTCAGGCTCCGAATAGATGATGTCTTTCTCCTTGGTTTTTTTCTTTTTGATAACATGATTCAAATGAATGTTGAATTGTTGATATAATCGATGTATTATTTCTGTATTGGTCTATAAGAACTGACCAGCAGCACAGGCTGAAGGGGTCAGTTTACTACTAGAACAATACAGTATATACAATAATCGATTGACTTTGGCGATCATGCTGTTCCAAAACCCTCGGTTCCTAGCCTTCTGTATTAGTATCACTCCCAGTTCTTTCACTCCTCTCTCTTCCAACAATTTCTGCAGACTGTCCATCCAAAGTATCCTCCTTCTGTCAATCGATATGGCACTTAGAGAGAGAGAGAGAGAGAGAGAGAGAGAGAGAGAGAGAGAGATACAATAATATTATAATCATAGAATATACAAAAGAAATATAGTATGTATAAACAAAATAAAAAAATACATTATTCATAATCTGTTATCACCAATCACTGTGATGTTTGTGCATTGGGACATTTTTCATAATGTATGTAGAATCAATTTCCCTGTAAAACATCAGACATGTTATCTTAGAACATTTCAATCCTTAAAGGGATTGTTTAACAATGTTAAAGCTGACATGCACGGCCATACGTGTTATCAGTGTCTGTAATATGGTGTTATATTGAAGCCCTAAAAAAAAATTGCGCTTCAAAATGAGCAAGAAGTGCCTCAAAAAAGTAAAAACCTTGAGTGACCGGTTTTACCATACTCGTTTTCCCTAATGGATTGTAGTGTTATGAAAAATTGTTGGCAAACGCAAAATTTTATTTCGATTTTCAATCACAAATATCTTGATAATCAGAAAGACGATCACCTTGTAAAAGTCATAGGGTTCCTGAAAGACCAAAAGGTTTATAATTATGATTGCAGCATGAGCTCAATCAAGGATTTTTTAAAGAGGATCTAAGACAAAGATACCGGATCCCTTTAATCATGCAGCTCTATCTTATCTAGAGCTACTTGTGAACTAATCTTGCACATCAATTTTTTTAACAGTATCTGTTGACACTCTTATTAAAAAACATCATCACCCTCATTTCCCTGACCAGCAGATTGTATACTTCTCTCTCTTCTCTCCACTTTCCTAAAACTGTGTTCATGTATTTTGTTATACTCACTGTATGTTTTCTGATTGGTCAAATAAATAATTATAATAATGATAATAATAATTCCACTCTGGATAGGTTCAGACATTGTTGCCGACGGTGATGACACGAGTGACCTGACCCATGGCAGTGGAGGGGTCATCTGTGGGAACCCGGTCAAAGCTTTGAGGAGCAGGAGGAAGAATATGAAGGTAGACTAGCTGAGATGCATGCTCGCTTCTTGTAAAGCATAGTGTAGATTTTTAACTCATTCAGTACAACATGATTTTCTGATAACACACTTCTATATTTGTCCTTGTTACGACAGATGTGATTGTACTTTTTGAAGCGAAAGGGATACAACTCAAAGATTTCTAGTGTGGATATAGAGGCATCCATCTAGATTACATTGAGAAAGATAGGACAGCGAGAGAGAGAGGGGAAGGGAAATAGGGGAGGGGAGGGAGAGAAAGAGAGAAGGGGGAGGGGAGAGAGAGACAGGGGAGGGGGGATAAGGGGGACTAATGAGTACCTTTACCTGTATTGTCCCTTCATTTCTTCTTTCATTAGTGATATTTGAAGCATGCCTAATTTGAAGCTGACTTTTTTTGTTTGTACATTCACATATATGTATATGTACACTTTAATAAACCAGCATGGTATAACCCAATTATACCGAGCAAAGTAAGTTTTGTTGTAGTTCTGCACTAATTTGGCCAGGGGGTATTAGACCTCCCTGCAAGATCACTGACAGGTGGTTATCTCATCAAATCAGCTCTCAATTAACATAAGAAAATGGGGACCAACAGTTACCGATCAGGCATTGCTTGCTACATAGAGGGCGCAAGTAGCTATAAGTAGTGCAGTGGGGCTTTTGATAATAGGCCTATCTTTGAATTTGCACTCTTCTCCTTTGAACACAGAACCCAATGACACAGCAGAACACCACGATGCTGATGTTACTACAGCACAAACCCGAGCACACGTATGACGCATTAGAGGAAGAAGACTGGGAGGATGGCAGATCAAAGGAAGACATCTTTGTTGAGCTCCGGACTTGGAAAGAAGCCCATGAAAGGTATGATACAATGTTCAACATAGATTTTAACTACCGGTATTAGCCCAATTTCCTCAAAGGCACACTGTCCTTCTTGTAGCTACTTGCTCCTTCTATATAGAAAACTTCCCCAATCAGTGCCTGTTGGTTCCCCATGATCCTCTTTTTCTTATGTTAAATGAGAGCTGAGTTAATGAGATAGCCACCTGTCACAGTGACCTCGCTGGCTCGCTGGGTGGCCTAATCCCTTCTGGCTGAAGTAGTAAAGCCTACCTTTATTTCATCCGTTGAGAGTCAGAAAGACATTAACTGTCTCTTCAGAGTGGATGATATACTGTAAACGTAATGTTCGCGGTGCTTTAATTTTCGAGGACTTCTCGCCAAAGTCGGTGTCCACGAATATTAAAACCTGTGAATATAATAATCGTGACTTCTTATGCATAATTTGAATGGGCTGAATTGCGTGCAATGCAAATTTAAGAACCCACAAATATGTTTTTGGGGTTGCTCAGCGCGAAAAATTAATCACGCAAAAATAACAGCATTTACAGTAAGCCCTTCTGGCTCCCATCATGTAGTAGTCCTGTTCTAGTTTACAGTTTCTGCCATAATAATCCGGTAATTATCATTTATTTGTAACCTTGAACACTTAAGGTCTGTTTCTACGTGATGCGATAAACCACTGTGGTTTTTATCACGACTATTAGAGCAGGTAAGAGAGTAAATGTGGGACCTTCATTGCAAGCAGGTTCTTTTTCAATCCCAGTTTTCTGTTCATTTACTGGTTTACGTAGAATTGTCATAGTCGAGTGGTTTAAGCACTTGACTTGAAATTCAAAGGTTGTGGGTTTGATTCCGACACGGCACTAATGTCCTTTGGTAAGGCATTAAGCTACATTTGCCACTCAATACCCAAGACTGGGACCAAGTAGGATGACGAAAGCATTTAAGTCAGTAATTGCCATATGCCCTCATGGAGACCATATGGTAGGAATATACCCCGGGGAGTGGAGATGGTGCACATTGTGAATGAATGAATCCAATGACCGGGATAAAGTGCTTAGAGATGGTATTCCGTACTAAGCACCATATAAATCCAGATTATTATTAAATATATATTTCTTTTTAATCAGCATTGTATACTGCGTCATACGTAAAGGAGCCTTTATGAATTCTTTCTTCTTCTCTGTCTGTCTCCTGCAGAAAAGTAGAAGTCCGTCTCCAAGACCTAGAGCCTCAGGTCCTGAAGATCACCCATAGCGACAACGAGGAGGAGGAGGAGACTAATAACAACCTCCCACTTACATCTGGTAGCCATAGCAACCAGGATGATGATGATGAGTTAGACAATGATGTCGATGATGATGTTGATGTTGGGGTTTACATCCCACCCACACCCTCAGATTCACCGATCGACGGAAGATTGCCGACCCCACCCCAAGGACCAAGGTCACCTATAAGGGCTCCGGTCAGACCTAAAACAACTGCAGGTCAGTATATCACCGTTAGACGTCAAAGACAAAATTGGGTCCAGATGGCAAGGTTTCACAAAGATTCTAAGTCAAATTTAACTCTAAGTTGGACTTAAGTATTATGGAGAGCTATTTGTAGACATCAAAGACAAAAAATGGTCCAGGGGAGTGTTTCACAAAGACTAAGATCGACTTTAAGTTGGACTTAACTTTGGCAGGCCGTTCATGCCACTGTTTGCTCTCACCATTGGTCTCTCAATTAATCTTCAGATAATATTTCTCCTACAATAATGAACTATAAAAAAATATAAATTCTGTAGATTTGTGACCACGATTGGTACATCCCTGGAGAAACCAATGCCAGTAAATGATGAGAGAAAATAGTAGAATGAACGATCTGCCATAATTAAGTCAAACTTATAAAGTCGATCTTAGTCTTTGTGAAACACTCCCCTGATGTGGGTGACAGGAAGAAAAAAAAGTAATCTTCATGAAGTCCTTTAGCCTAATCATGTACAAGATAATGGTTCAAAACATCTGTGGTTACTTGTTACTTGTAGAGATAATCCCGATGGCAGCTATCATACAGCTAAACTGGGATGTCCGTGCAACGTGCTGGCATAGTGACAGTGCATGAAGTAATTCAAAACAGTGAATGATGTCTATTATTTACAATAAAATGGTGGACGTGCAAGTAAAAACCGAGACGTGGAGTCTACAGTAGCTTGGACCCAACAGGAGGAGGCAACGCTCTGATGATGGGTAGAGCAGCCTCCTGGAAGATGGTCACTGTTGGAGATGTTACTGCAGCAGCTGATAGGTGGTTCCACGTCCAGATGGTGCGAGGATAGAAGGAGTACTTAAAGCTATCAATGGAAGCTGGGGGTACTGCATACTTCAGAGGGTGATCATTTCTGCCCAGATATGTAGCTGGGATAATGTGAGTGGGAAAAGGCATGTTGAGTTGATGATGGTGCATCTTGTAAAACAAAGTGGACTGTGCAAGAAGCCTGCGGTTGTGAAGGGTATCCCATCCCAGTTTGTTGACTAGTGCTTTGACTGATGTTAATCTCCGGTAGTCTTGGTATACAAAACGGGCGGCAGCTCGCTGTACTTTCTCAAGACTTTGTATTGATGTCAGAGTCCGAGGGTTCCAAGCTTCACTGCCATACTCAAGTTGAGGACGAACAAGCATTGTGTAGGCTTTGGATTTGATGTTCTTGGTGCACGGTGATAGAGTTCGGCGTAGGAGGCCAAGGGTTCTATTGCCTTTCTGGGTGGCGAGTTTACATTGGGTGTTCCATTTAAGGTCATGGGTAATCGTGACACCAAGATACTTGTATTGTTTTACTCGAGGAATTGACTCATTTAGTAGGGTGTAGTCCACTGTGATGGGGTGCTTCTTGTTTGTGATTGACAATGTAGCACACTTCTTGATGTTGAATCCCATCAGCCATTTAGTAGACCAGTCTGCAAGAACATGGAGATCTTCTTGCAGTATATGAGTGTCAGAGGGAGAGTCGATACGCCGATAGATGACACTGTCATCTGCAAATAGACGCATTGTGGACTTGATGTTGAGTTTGATGTCATTGATGTACAGCAGGAAAAGTACGGGGCCGATGACAGAACCCTGCGGTACTCCTGAAGTAACAGGCATCCATGCTGAACGAGCACCATTGACGACAACAGCTTGATGTCTATTCGCTAGGAGTGACATAGTCCAGCGGAGAGAGTCTCCCCTGATTCCGTAGTAATGTAGTTTGGATCTAAGGTGTGGATGTGGTACGCGATCAAACGCTTTTTGGAAGTCGAGAAAGATGGTATCAGTTTGGCCTCTAGATTGAAGAGAGGATGACCAATCATCGGTAGCTGTGACAAGTTGTGTTGTTGTCGAAAGATTCTGTCTGAAACCATGCTGTTCATCAATGAGTATTTTGTTAGCTGTAAGATGTTTAGAAATGTGGCTAAGCATAATATGTTCCATCACCTTACTGCAGATACACGTCAGCGATATAGGTCTGTAGTTACCTGGGCAACATTTATCTCCTGCCTTATGAATAGGGGCTACAAGTGCACGTTTCCAGTCTAAAGGCACTTCTCCGGTATTGTAACTCTGTTGAAACAGAAATGACAATGCAGGGGCTATTTCGTGTGCTAGCATCTTCAGAATTCTTGGATGTATCTCATCAGGGCCACTGGCTTTGGATGGATTCAGTTGAAGCAGTTGCTTAACTACACCAGACCGGTGGATGTGGAGATGCCCTATATCATTGTATAGGGAGGGCCGGTTTATGCAAACTTGATCCACGTTGCTCTTGGTGAAGGTAGAATGAAAGTAATTATTCAAACATTCAGCCTTGTCCTTGTTTGTGATATGGAGCTTGTTATCATTTCTCAAGGGTGGTATACCAAAGTTTTCAGATCTACACTGTTTTACATATGACCAGAAAGCCTTGGGGTTCGCATATAGGCTCTCACCTATTATGTTGCAGACGTAATTGTGATGAGCTTGGCGGACACGTTTGGTCAGTTCGTTTCGAAGCTGCCTGTAGGCCTTCCAATTGGATGCACTAGGTTGACTTCGTGCCTTCTTGAACAAACGATCCCGCTTCCTCAATTGCCTTTTGAGGGAAACGGTGATCCATGGCAAGTTGCGTCTGGCTCTTGACATCTTGGATGGGATGAATTCATCCTTGCACTTGTTGATGAGTGATGTGATACAGGTCCAGTTTTCATCAACTGACTTCAGCTCTGGTGAAGATGATAGAAAATCCATTGAGAATTTTGCAACAGCCTTGCGGAGTTTCTGAAGATCAGCTTTGTGGAATTGGTAGATTTTTCTTGGCGGAATGCGGCAAGTTCTTGGATTCCCCGAGATCGAAAAAGCAACGATGTTATGGTCCGATATTCCTGGATGGACACAGACATCGGACACCAGTGTTGGATTTGACGCAAGAAGAAGATCAAGTGTATTCTCAGATACAGGGCGGGTTACTTCATTAACAAACTGGAGAAGAGAGTTCTCTAGCAGGATATCAAGGAGGAGTTGGTGGATGCTAGTGCGATTGCTGTTTTTAACAATGCATTCCTTCCATGGTACATGGTATGATCGATCTATGAAAGGATGTATCGATCTATGAAAGGACCTGTATGGTATGATTTATTTACAGAGACCGATTCATTAAATTAGATCACTTGAATTAAAAAGATCTTAGATTACATGAATTACTTTAATCATAATGTTTTTGATAACTATTTGTGTAGGGCAGTTGGCTTACTCCAAGAGCATACACACAAGTTTATGTCTCTTTTGAGCAAGTTCAAGAATAGCTCGAAATAATTTTCAGAATTTAAACATTGATTTAACAGTGTTACCACTGGAACACATATTTGCCAAGTATTCATCCAATCTCAATCTCTCCCGTTTCATCCTTCTCTATGGAATATTTTACCATTTGATTTGAGAAACTTAATTTATAGAGACCTTTAAATCCAAGCTGAAATCTCATCTTTTTTTTAACAATACCTGTACTTGGCACTATGACACTCATCCAAACTCTCTTATTCTTTCTATTTTTCTTGTGCGCCTCGGAATAGAATTGTCTAGATAGACGGCGGTATATAATGCCAATTAATATTGTTATTGTCTTCTTTATGTCTCTTAGTTGGAGACTACAGAGTGCGTCGGTTCCGTCAACGTTCCGTTGATGAGGGTCTATCCCTGGACTCCTCCACTGATACCCCTCGGCTATCCCAGGAATCTCGGTCCTCATCCTTAGGGGACTCTGGTCACATGAGTCCGGGTACTTTCCTTGGTTCCTTCCCGTCATCACCGGTCCTGGGCCGGATAGAGGATAGACCATACTCTGGTCCAGCCGTTGGGATCAGGACTATACCGTAAGTACAGAAATTGATTAAACATGGAGAAGTTTTTTATGTCAAAGTTGAAGTAGAATATGTGACGTGGTAATTAGTCCTTACTTTATAACTTCTAGTATTCTGTATCAATATAACTTATAGCTCGGGATCACATTATCATTAGAACCCATAGATGGATTACCATCTAACTCCGGACATGTATGTATCTTGCAGAGCCAATGAACTAATTAGATTTTGGGGTCATGAGGTCAAAGGTCATATGGCTCTTTATGTATGCAAAAAGAAATTGTGAATGCATTGGTATTAGACACGACAGATGGATTACAATCAAATTTGAATTTTAAAAATTACTCCTGTTTTGGTTCGTAAAATCGCTCTATGGCGGAGGCATCATTTTTGACAGAGTGCAGACGAAGATCCATCTAGTTTTGAACCTACCGTAATATACTCAGAATGTCTAATAGCTGTTCACAAGCTTGTTTTTGTTTTTGTATTTTCACAGGGAGGTACAGCAAGTTGACAAGAACGCTCCAAAGTCCATTGACCCTCACAAGCCAATCATCCGCTCCTCAGTGAACACGCCCCCAAATAGACTCATGGGATTGATATCTAGACCGGTCACTGCTCGGGCTGCGCTCCAACGGAAAGCCTTGCCTAGTAGGACTAAAAATAACCCATATACTAGCATGTGATCTACTAGCCTATAGATAGAGCTGGACTAGTCTAGGATGACAGTGTGGCAAGACTTGGACTGCCCTCAAGCAGCAACAAGCAGCGACCAGCAGGAATATACATGATTCCTATTATATTCTAGTATGTGATCTACTAGCGTATGGTTGCAGTTGGATAGCAGTGTAGCATCTAGATGTTGTGCAAGTTTGGTATTGAATAGCATTGCTAGTCTCTTAGCTGTGACAGACCTACCAGTGTGTGACCTAGCTACTAGTCTTGATTCAAGGATTCTACTAAAGAGCATCATTATTCTGCTACAAGTGTGGATTCTGTACATGGAGCTGTTCATTATTCTATTTAGCTGTGATGACATCATGAGTTCCAGCCAACTTACAAGCCCCTCTTTTAGTTCATGCGTGGGTATATAGTCGTTCGTGAAGTAGGCAACTTAGCGATCACTCCCAATCACTACATAACACTGAGCCAATTGGTATAACGCTCTTGTGCGTACGTCCGTGTGCTGCCCTCTATATACCCACAATGTGTGAGTGCTTGAGATCTTTAGAGAATTATAACAGTCGGTGAACTTTGACCTTCAATTTTTCTTAATGAATGAATCGTAGTTTCATGTGTAGATAAATATTGGCATGATGTGGGGTGCATTATTTTAAATTTTGATACAATTTAATTCATTCATAGTTAACTATTGAGGCAAGACTAGTTTGAACTTAGTTTGAACTTATGAACATATTTTTCAAAACATTTAAATTACCAATACTGGAGGATGTTTCACAAAGCCTTTTTTCAATGACAAGTGACAACGATCAGTGACAAATCTACTGATAACCAATCAGAAGCAAGGATTTCACTAGCTTATAACAAAAATTGTCATTTGTCACTGATGACAAGTTTTGCGAAACGGTCCGTGATCAGACAATCACATTGCAAGTAGAATTCAAAAGGCTATTAATAAGAGCGTTGTATGGACTCAGTGTAGGACTACTTGACTAAATTAAAATGGCCTGCTTGGACATCCTTAGAGCCGTTATATCCTACTTTATTTTGATGTGTTATAGCAGAGCCCATGCTCTCTCTGTCGATTGTAAAAGGGATTTTTGTCATTTTGCAGTTTTAGCAGAGATGCTCTAGATGACAGTGGAGTGAAATAAATCAATGGTTTCTTGTGTATTTTGCTCTACAATTTAGGAATGAAAAAAAATTAAAAGTAGTTAGTTATGTTGTTGTTAGTGAAATAATAAATGTAGATGAATAGTCTTTATTATATGATTCCAATGGAATTTATTGACTATTTATATTTCTTTTTGTGAATACTAGTAAATCTTTTTAGATACAGTTAACAACTAAATTATTCATACTCCTTGATGTTTTTGTGTCTTTTTTGCATAACTCATGATTGAAATGTGGACTGGTTGAATTAGGGCCTTTGCTCGATACGTACATGTAATATGTCACATTCTCAAAAAAATAAGTTGGAACAAATCAACTTTTCCCATACTAAAGAAATGGCAAAACTTGGTAAGGGTATAAATAATTTAGTTGTTAACTTTATACTCTGTACATGTAGTTTAGGTTTAAAATTTCCTTTGCTGCGGATCAAAACCCACAGACGTCACAATATAGATTTCTTAATGATGTCATTGTTCAGTATGCGCTTGATAGTAGAGATAGTAGATAGTGATAAAAAACAGAAGCGATCGAGTCATAAATCTGAGAAAAGAGAATGTATTCTTGCCTTTTCTATTCTAGTTCCGTCCAAACTAAGTAATAACTTGAATATCACACACCTTGCATGTCTTTCATCATATCATCTGTACAGAGCCAGAAGGGCATTGACTCTGTATTGAAGTATATGAGTTAATGCCCTTCTTGCTCCAAACAGATGATTTCTGCCTTAACCCAATGTCAATGCCTTGAAAGTTATTGTTATACTATTATCAATTGGACAGAATTACTGAAAATACACTTTTTCAGGAAATTATAACTTTGATGATTTTTTATTAAAATCATTGTTATTGTACAGTAGGATATGTTGAGAAAGAACTTTTGATGGAAACAATTTCTACATGTATGCAGTGCTCTTGAACTTTAGCATTTTGATGTGCCAATTTTTGTTACCAATATGTGTGATGTATTTGTAATAACTTGTCTCTAACGCAGAATGCTAGCATACAAATATGTAGTTCCTGCTTACTTGTATTTCCTTTAGTATTTATGGGATATAAATTATAATGTACAGAATCATTCTATAGCAATGTGATGTTCCATGTGCATGTATTTCATTATCTTGCTTAGTAAACCTTTGTAGAGTAATACTAAAAGAAACCAAGTCCGAAGAATAGCATTGAACACAGACACACTGAAGCTTTGTGTATGTATGTCTGCATTCACTGCTACGATTCTATTTTGTAGTAGTGATCAGGGACCCATTTCACAAAGACTTTTTTCAATGACAAATGACAAAAATCAGTGACAATTCTGCTGATAACCAATCAGAAGCAAGGATTTCACTAGCTTATAACAAAATTGTCATTTGTCACCCATGACAAGTTTGTGAAATGGGGCCCAGCTCTTGTGAAACAAAGTTTCATATTGGAAAAAGATACTATCATCATTAGGAATGAACTAATTGACAGGGCAATAGGACGTTTATTTCTGGGTTCCTATAGCATTCCTCGTAAAAAGCCCAGTTTCTCCCCGAAGTGATTTGTTTTTCCTCAAATTCCTTGACTGACATACAGGAAAACAATTCTTCATGGTTTCCCCCTGATTTACAGGATATATGGGAAGCCTGGAAAGGTCTATATTTTGTGGACCATCACAAAGGGGAAAATACAGGACTTCTTCAACTGATCATACATTCATTACATCAGTCTTTAACGCTATTGATAATTTTTTTTTTTTTTTAATGATTTGGAGTGCTTTGTAGGACTTCATGTTTGCAAACTGTAAAGGGCAGTTTCAACCTGCATAACAAGTTGTGTGAAAAAGTTGGATTTCCCTTCAACTTTATTTGATATGGTATGGTTCCAAGCAAAAAAAACTTAAAAAAAACTTAGTGTGTGGCTGTTTGTAAATTGAGCTTTATTGCAAATTTTTAAACCAGATATTGCCTTTATCCTTTTTATTAGTTTATTTTAATAGCGTTATTGAGACTTCAGTGTAGCCTTTCTGTAAATTCATATCATTATATTTTTTCAAATTATAAGTGAGTGCATATACAGGTACATCTTGTTTGGCCATAACCATTTCTGACTATTCAGTCATGCATGAACTCTAGACTTGCTTTGTAAACACAAAACAAACAGGTCTTATGGACCAATTTCCTTAAACATGCACATGGAATGAATTTTTGAATTTCCATTAAAAGCGTAAATAATTATTATAATGGAATGGAGTTCAAAGTAAAGCATTTCATATCCATTCTGTGACCAAACACACTGTACTCTCCTTGTAGCTAGGCTGTACATGTGAGTGATATGCTTTATAGATATATTTTCTTTGTGAAGATGAATTTATTGAGCTTTCCAAATTGACCAAACTTGTGTGATTGAGAACTGTACATTTTGTATATGAATAAATGTAAACAATGTCTATCATCACTGGTATCTTTGTAATTTGATTTATGTTGTATACCGGTAATAATATTATAAGATGATGACGTGGATCCTAATCAAATGATTGGTTGAAAGCGTACATGTGACCAGGCATTTATTTTGCCTAACGCGTAATTTGGGTAATGACCGGTCATTATCAAAATCATGTTAGAAAACATCATTTTATAAAACAAATAAAACATAATCATATAAAACAAATAATACACATGATTTTGTTCGGGCATTAGTAAAATTACCCACTCTTGGTACCTTCAAAGCAGTCCAAACGCCCTTGGCTATCGCCTCGGGCGTGTTAGACTGTTCCAAAGGTACCTTGTGTGGGTAATTCTTACTAATGCCCGAACTGATGTGTATTATTTGTTTAATAATAATCCAATCCAATCCAGGTATTTATAAAGCGCCAATATCTAGTTAATCAAAGGCACTGATCGGACTACCAAAAAAAAATACGGAAAAATTTCTGTTCATGATTCTAACTGGGAAAGACAAAAAAGCAGTGACTAATTGTAAGCAATCTGAAATAGGTATGTCTTTTATAGTTGAGTTCTGAAAGTGGATAACTGGTGACAGGAGCGGAGGATTTAATAATAATAATACAGGTTGCTTATACAGCAACTAGTTCGCTTTCCTACTCTCATACCTCAACAACATACCATGGAAAACACACAAATTTGGAAGAAACTACAAAAGTTGACTTTCTTTTCATTTAGAAAGGATGGAATAGCCTTTTAATGCACACACAAATTCTCTTAGAATACATTTCAATATTTACATGTACATAATACATAATCTATACAATTACAACACTTTCTTTTCAGTAAAAACCTTTTTTTTCACCTATCTACATACTTGACATTGCATAGTCAGACGGGGAATTTCAGCTTTTTGTCCTAATAAGTACTGACCACATTCACAAACATAACATGTAACATTGGCTATGGAAGCTACACTGGAAAAATGTCCAAGTTCAGTGATGCATGTTGGCATTCACACTTGAATTAATAAATTCATGTTTTAGAAATTGCTTAAATTTTGTATAACAAATGCTAAAGATCATTAACAACTCAAGCCTAAAGGAAGTACATGGAATTACTCTGTAAGATATTACTTAGTTTATACCATCAAAACTGACGCCAGACTGACTTCAAACTGATCAAAACATTACATTACCCTGCATGGCCAAGTATCGGGGTGGAGTCAGTTTGGCGGTGAGACTGTAGGAGTACTCTTTGTAACTATCTGAGAGGTTACCAAATTCGAATCTGCTTTAGTGTCCACCTGTATAGAAAGACCACTTGTCTACACTTGTCAATTTGTTTCCCTTCAGATGATTTCTCAATGAAACATGTACTAAAGCAACCTGTACATAAAGACCACCTGCCTATAAAGACCACTTTTCTTGTCTCCCTTGGGTGATCTTTATAGACAGGTTTCACTGTAGTATGAATCAAGAGGGGCACCATGAGACATGGATAAGGAGGATAACTACATGAGTTTGACATACATGTATTTCTGACTCACTCAGAGGACAGACTACACATTCCAATGGAAATACTACTTGATTGTGAGTCAAGAGATTTGGAAACGGTACCTTTACTTGTAATCAGAATCACCACACTATTCTCTTAAAAAGAAACTACATGTATCAAGGCTCCTCAGATATGACGCTGCAAAACAGCAGCGGTTTTTCAGGATGACTGACGTAAAGTATAATATGCTTGACATTTCTGTAGCTTATAACACAGATCACATTGAATACGTTCTAGTCTTTTGTTGCGCACAGTAGCCATTCATTTTTAACACGTTTATAAAATACGTGGCAGCTTTATTTTGCATAGGTCTACTGCGCCATTTCTGATCAAGCCTTTAGTAAACACTAGTAACATTAATCCAATTCATTGTCCCTGAAATAACGATCAGTTTCTCTCATCCTGTACCAGTGTACCTGTTTATTTTATCAGGCAAAATAGAAGCAGAGCTCAATGTCTATTCACACACGGTTGGCTACCATTTCATAATTTTTTTTAAATCAAGAAACTACAATTTGAAATTCAATTGCCTGGAGTAGGGCAAACAGTATGTAAAAGAAAAGAGTTGCAAATATTTCTGGTTTTAAAATAATCAGATCGTAATCTCTTTATGCAGTGCGATAAGGTGTTCAAGTTGCCTCAGATATGATATTTTGGAAGTGTTTAAAAATGAAAAGGCAAAATGTAAATTTGAGAAGGAAGCTGCAGTTGACTTTGAGTAGAATGATGATTTTTTTTTCTTGTGTCACCCTGTTTTATACTCTTGGAAGAGAAGAGATTCAATACCTTATTAAAACCAGAAAATTTGACATACATTAAACTTGACAAATTTTAAATGTGATCCTGATTTGCAACTGTTAAATGCTGGAATGAATCAGTTACTGAATTTTTGCAACTTACAAAATTTCTTGCCTATAAAATGGCCAATATATATGTTTACCGGTACGAATCAAAGAACTTTGTGGCTATACAGCATATGCCATCTATTCTTAATTAGACCCTCTCCTCTATACCACCTCAATGTTCACAAAAGATTCTCACATAATGAAAGCAGCTGATATGCATTTTTCTCAAAGACATACATTGTACTCTATGAATAGAATGGATTATGGAATGTAATATATAATAATAATTATCAT